TCTTACCTGAAAAGAAAACAAATATAATAAATACAAAATACAAATATCAATATATTTAGTGATGAGCGAGACTTGTATTGTTCTTGATCTTGCAGAAAAAAAATAAGGCCAAAACCAAGACTAGCCTTAGATTTGAAAGACCAATCCAAAAGAAGAAAAAGACTCAAAGTCTCGGTCTCAACAGTTATTTCAATGTTGAGACCGAGACTTGAGTCTTTTTCTTCTTTTGGATTTATAAACCAGGTCTCTTTGGAAATGGACGCCCTTTTTAAATTTGAAAGACCAAGACCCAGTTCATAAGACTCTTGCGGTCTTGCATTTTTCTACGGTTTTCAGCTAATTTTTCATAGATAATTAATTTAAAAAATTAAAACAAATATAACGTTAAGACAGGGTGGCGCACCGCATTCGCCTCGGTTGATTATACGAAAACGGAAAGATGTAGAAACAAATTTTGTATGGGTATATGAAGAGAGGCAATGTGCATAATTTAAAATTATTTTCAAATGTACAGGGTGTGTCAGAACTAAGATCCATATCAAAGTTATATTTTTTCTTATGGAACACCCGGTATTTTATTTTATTTTAGGATTATTGGACATAAAATAAGGCATTTATTAAAAGAGTTTAATATGTTTAAACGCTTTGGTATTGAGATATTTAAATATGCATGCTATAATAAAAGAGTTTATCAACAACCTGGAGATTACTTTTCAGATTTAATTGTTGTGCTGACTTTGAAGCCAGAGAAATAAACTTTACTAAAACAATGTATTGCTTCCTTAAGTGTATACAGGGGTATCAATAAATATTAATTTTACATGAAAACTTCGTTATTTCAAATACAACACTATGTATTTTTTAAAATAAGTCGAAGCAGATTTAAATGCTCTTTCAAACTATATTAGGGTTTCCTATACCTATCTAGCTCAGATTTTTAATAAAAAGCGATTTTTCAATAAAATGGCAATCGAGATGGCAATTTGCTAGTGACAGTTAGTAGCTATTTTCAAAATCGACATTAGTTTATAGACTTTATTTAAATTTATAACAGTTCATTTTTATTTAATTTACCTACATTCGTTTAATAGTATTAATAAGTATTTAATATTTTATCAAAAAAAATAAGAAGTAGTTCTTTGATTTATATTACGACTTATATATTACGACGACGTAGATATATTGGATTTTCTATAAAAGAGCCAATTAAGGCAAATTGATTTTCTTCACTTCCAACGAAAGGTTTCTGCCTAATAAGTTTTTCATATACCACACTATCAGCTCTGCAAAATAAGAAAAGTAGTTTTTCAAAGGAACGCTTGTCAAGAAAATTTCTACTTGGATATCTTTGAGCATAAACCCTTCAGGCCAACAAGCAATTGTCCTCACAAAATTAAATCACTAGTAACATATTCATTCCTTTCGCCCGCAGATACTGCTTCATTTTTCTTGATAAAATAATAAATACTTACTTATTAACCTTATTGTAGGTAAATTAAATAAAAATAATCTGTTATAAATTTAAATAAAGTCCATAAACTAATGTCGATTTTGAAAATAGCTACTAAATGTCACTAGAAAATTGCCATGGCGAGAACAGCCGTCTGTGTTGTCAGTAGTGTATTGTGGTGAATTAATGAGATTTTGTAATGGACTCCTTTTCGTGATGGGTGAAGTATAATAATAAAGTATCTTTAATAAATTATTTTTTCTGTCGTTATGATTTGACATAATTATCCTATGCCAAGTTGTGGGCAAGACCAAAACACCCTTGGTCTTGATCTTGATGCAAGACTCTTGCCAGTCTTGCAATTTTTATTTTGCTGTTGTAACACCTAAGGTTCCATCCCCCAGTAATAAAATGATATAACGTAAACGGTATTACTATTTATAATTATTTTGTTAAATCTCACATTAAATCGTTAACAACAATCTAACAGTGGTTCTTAAAAATACAAAAAGCTTTATTACAAGTCTACAGAAATTTTAAACTTTTATAAAGCAATTTCATATTATTTCACATTGTTACTATTATATTTATTCTTTTTTTGTTCTTATATTTAGCATTATTCCATCGGTTTAAATTTAATTTATACCAAAAATTTTAACTCGACACTTCTTTGCTTTAATTTCTTCAAATTATTTATTGTTTCTCTAAATTTCTTCGTAAAATTTCAAGCGTCAAACGCTTGAGACAATCTTCCATGCTGACTAAACAAAGAAAATCCGAGGTATTTTTTAATAATCTGCCTGGGGAAAGTTTTCTGTAAAATTAATAAAAGAAATAAAGTTGGCGAGACAGATGTCACGATTCGTACCAGAAACTGATAACTCTAAATGTCAGCCAACTCAAAGGAATTTCCTGTTTTTTTTAGAAAACCGTTTTTTATATTAATATAAGGTATTACCAAAAACATGCAAATAAAAAAAATATATTTATTAATATATATTTTTCATACTACCTTGCAGCTGTAATTGCACAGCAACATATCCTACTAATTAAGAAAATACTTTATTCTTAAGTGCACTGTTTAGATTTACTTAGTAGGTAGTAATTTAAATAGTAGATTATTCTTTTAAAACTATAGTGCTGTAAGAGCGCCAAGTCATTATAAATTATAATGATCAGATGTTAATACAGGGTGAGTTTCCTGCGATGTTCTCTATGGGTATCTCGGAAACTAGTGGAGATAGAGAGTCGGTTAAATGGGGAAAGAATTGCAGTTTTGTATAGGGTCATATACATGCGCCATTCAGGTTTTTGAAAAAGTTCATGGCTTACTAGATATTTTGAAAAAAATAAATTTGGGCTATTTTAAAAATTGTCCCTAATTCCATTATAATCTATTATAGACAAAAAGTTTTCAGATAAAAGTTGTAGATAATCACGTCCTTAATGAGATTGTGTCCTTCTTTTTTTCTAAAGCTTGTCATTATTGAGATATGACACAAATATATGTTTTTTTTTAAATGGAAACCATAGTTGGCCATGACTTCATAAAAAGCGCCTTTTTTAAGCATTTTAGCGATATAAGCTATAATATGTTTCTTTCGAAAAATTACTATATAGAGTTATAGCCAATTCTTATAATTTTTAAACAATTTCAGTTAGTTAGCCATGGAAAAAAGTTCAATCGTTGTTACTCTCAGAAATGTGAAACTGTCACATCCAAACTTTATAAAAAAAATAAACAAAAATTGTAAATATGAATTTTTCAAATGGAGAAAAGCGTGTAGGATTATTGGTTCAACTTTTCTTGGCCATACATTTTCGAGGATACGTTGACCGGTGAAAGTTACTTACTTTTTTAGAAAAGTTAAATTTTGATACTTGCGCTTCAATAGAATGATTCCAACATGACTTTCATTATGACACTCCCCATAATAATGAAAAAAATGTTATCATAATTATTAATTATTTATATCATAATTATGCAAACTCAGGGATAGGAAGAAGTGGACCAATTGCATGGGCCTCCTCGATCACCTGACCTATCCATTTTAGATTTTTTTAGGCGGTATGATTAACAATAAGGGTCACAAAAGAACTTATGAATGTTCACAGAACGGTTGACTACGGCCGGTCGACTTTATTAAACTTCTCCCCTACAGCCTCTTCGAGTGCCTCTCTTAATTCAGTGTTAGTTCTTTTGTAACCCTTATTGTTAACCACACCGCCTAAAAAAATCTAAAATGGATAGGTCAGGTGATCGATTGATCCATTCTATTGAAGCGCAAATATCTAAATTTAACTTTTCTAAAAAACGTAAGTAACGTTCACCGGTCAATGTATCCTCGAAAATGTATGGCCAAGAAAAGCTGAACCAATAATAATCCTACACGCTTTTCATCATTTGAAAAATTCATATTTACAATTTTTGTTTATTTTAATTTATAAAGTTTGGATGTGACAGTTTCACATTTCTCAGAGCAACGACGATTGAACTTGTTTCCATGACTAACTAACTGAAATTGTTTAAAAATTATAAGAATTGGTTATAACTCAGTAATTTTTCGAAAGAAACATATTACGATGTACTTAAACAGCCGTTAAACGGTAGCCTACTAAAATGCCGTTAATAGATATTGTGACGTCGTTCATGTCGGCGGAAAGTAATGCGTAGCAGAGGCTATCGCTTCGTGAGCGAATGATCCGTGGTTCAAATCTCACGCCGATCAAGACTTTTTTTAATTTTTTTTTGTTTATAGTGTGATCTTATTGCATTGGTTTCACTCTTTTTGGTTGGATTGGTTTAGTTATTTGGCGGATTGGTTAGCGTAGTTATTTGGAGGGTGTTAATTCATTGGTTAGTTGGTTATTTGGTGGGGTTGTTTGGTTTTTACTAATTTATATTTATTTGTTATTTATATTTTTTTATCAGTGTCAAGGTTAGTTGCGTTGATTAAGTTGGTTATTTGGTGGGATGGATAGCGTTGGTTAGTCCTTATAAAATTGCTATATTTCATAAAGCCATCAAGTGCGTCACATCAACGACGTCATACCTACTAACGGCATTTTAGTAAGCTACCGTTTAACAGCAGTTTAAGTACAGCCAACATATTATAGCTTATATCGCTAAAAAGCTTAAAAAATGGCACTTTTTATGAAGTCACGGCCAACTATGGTTTCCATTTAAAAAAGCATATGTTTGTGTCATATATCAAGAATGACAGGCTTTAGAAAAAAAAACGGAGGACATAATCTCATTAAGGACGTGATTATCTACAACTTTTATCTGAAAACTTTTTGTGTAAAATAGATTATAATGGAATTAGGGACAATTTTTAAAATAGCCGAAATTTGTTTTTTTCAAAATATCTAGTAAGCCATGAACTTTTTCAAAAATCTGAAAGGCGCATGTTTATATGACCCCACAAAACTGCAATTCTTTCCCTATTTAACCGACTCTCTATCTCCAGTAGTTTCCGAGATACCCATAGAGAACATCGTAGGAAACTCACCCTGTAGACACTAACTAAAATAACTGACTTGGTGCTACTTGAGATCTCATATATTTTGTAGTGGAAGAACTATAACAATTGAAATTATAAAATCGTAGACACATACAGAAGCTAAATGAAAATTTTACGTGAGACATTCAGTTTTAAATCAAGACATTGAAGCAGTAGAAATTAAAAAAAAAACAGGGAGAGAATCAGTATAATTTAAAATGTATATCTGGATAGTTCACTGAAGTCCATGTTCTTGTTTTTCTTCATATTTTTAAAATATCAGATCCTACAATATAAAATTCCTTCGAAAACTCATTTTTGAATGTTCTTATTTCATGCTTTCCTTTTCCCTATCAACTTTAGAATTCTTCTGTCTATATCCACTCATGTGATAAATTTTTGGATTCCGTATAACCTTCTACGCTGAATATATAAAATTTTCTTCGATATTTAATACTAAATTCTTACTACATTTAATTTTTTAAATTGCCTCAAAGTTGGAAGCATAAAATTACTTCGCATATTCCTTATCTAGAAAATAATAAATTTATTTGTCATTTACTGACAGTAGCATAAATATTACCTATATTTTTTTAGTGCTTCTTTTTAGAGACCTAGAATATGTTGGATCCTTGCAAAGAAAGAGAACCAAGAGTAATAACAAACGCTCTTATAGAGAAATGTATCGATTTGCAGTATCCAAAAGGGGAGGTAAGTTCCTTAAAATCATTTCATACCAGTATAATATTATAGTATGAGCATTTAACTAAAAAATTAAAGGTTGTGCTATAATATAAAGCTAGGAGACACTCTCTCCTAATAGGTGTACGTAAAATAACATTTAAAATAAATATGGTTACGTGGGTACCTCATTCCTCATAATATTCATTGGAGGCACCAAAATATTTTAAATCGAAGAAACAAACTGTTGAAGTCGTTTTACGATATCAATTTTTTATAACTTATTAAATTCAACGTTCTGATGAGATTTGATCCTAGAATATTTTGTTGTTCATAACATGTTCATAATGGAACAAACGTGTACGTCAAAGTCATGAGAAATGACATTATGCAAAAATAACACTAGCTTCTACGTCCCACTAGTCAACTGGCATACCCAACAATGTTGCCGTTTTTTTGTTGTAACAACTTGGCTGTAAAAGTAACACGGGAGCCAATATCTGGACTGTTCAAAATTTACATGCGATTTCCTATGTTTTCAACGACAATGCACCACCCGGCATGTTTTAAAAACTGATGGGCTCTAAATTTTCTTAATAAGTAAGTAATAAGACAAAATTACTCATTTAATACTTGTGGCCTAACTACGTCGAAACACCGGCTCCCATTAGAACATCGAAATTAAGCGACGTAAGGCGATACTAGTGGATGGACGGGTGACCGGTTCGAAACTCTGTATCGTGCTGTTGTCCAATAAAGGGCAAAAGTGTAAAATCTATTGACAAACACTGCTCATGCACGCCGGTTCGAGGCCGGATGAGATCGGATATCTCGTGAGTAAGAGTCGATTTAGAAACTTGCCAAGTCGGTAGGCCATTGACCATGATATGGCCGAGGATCGCAGTTCGGATTCCGCGCAAACAAAGTAGGCCCCGTCCAGATTAGCCCTGGCAGCAAAAAGGAGACGTTAACTGAAATCTTTACTTTACTTTTAGTACTTGTTATGACTGAGATAGCGGATCATAGCTATTTCAGCCATGAAAAAAAAATCGGTAAAAAAACTTTTAAGTTAAACGGTTTTATCTTATGTGCACTGAAAACTAGAAAATAATAATAACAATTAGGTATTTTGAACTTCTAGTTCAGAAATATTTTAGTACTAGGCAGAATAGCTTTTAGGCATATTAGACTAAAATAAAAACGTGGGGCCCCTCTGAAATCCTACCTATGGCAAAGCATATCTTTATACTTTGGTAGATCATGAGCTCGGCGTTCGCTGGTGAAGCCGCCACGGCTGGTTATTGATTGTCAAAATCTCCAGTTACGATTATAGTAAGTCGATGCAATCCATACTTAGTATAGAAGAAAGTATTACAGCAATAGTTAATGGGCCCCACGTTTTTATTTTAGTCTAATATGCCTAAAAGCTATTCTGCCTAGTACTAAAATATTTCTGAACTAGAAGTTCAAAATACCTAATTGTTATTATTATTTTCTAGTTTTCAGTGCACATAAGATAAAACCGTTTAACTTAAAAGTTTTTTACCGATTTTTATTTTCTAGTTTTTAGTATTTAACGGAAATGCCTACCGAATATTCCTCATTCTATTTAATTCATTTAGTGCATCATTATTACATGGTTTTTTACCTGATAATTTATTACAATCTGACGCTCAGGTGTTTCTGACGCTAACGACTCTCTCTGTCTGTCGCGTTCTGATGCTAGCCTAGACTCATGACGCTCAGGTGTTTCTGACGCTAACAACTCTCTTTGTCTCTCTCGTTGTGATGCCAGCCTAGACTCATGACGCTCAGGTGTTTCTGCCGCTAACAACTCTCCCTGTCTATCACGTTGTGATGCTAGCCTGGACTCATGACGCTCAGATGTTTCTGACTCTACCAGCTGCCTTTGTCTCTCACGTTGTGCTATTAACCTGGCATCATGTTGCTCAGGTGTTTCTGTTGCTAACCGTTCTCTTCGTTTCTGTAGTCGACTATAGGTTTCATTTTCACTTTCTTTTGCACGTTTCGTTCTACACTTTTCTTTCGCCTTTTCGAGTCTTCTTTTTCGTTGTGTAGCAGTTTCGTTTTTATTGTTGTTTGTTTTTTTATTTATTGTTTCCATGTTGTTCCCACGAGTAATGGACATTTTAACGGTCGACCCCCCCAGAGGTCCAGTAGAGGGGCAAGGCTATAATATACAACAAGAGACGCCCAATCTTGAGGGGAAAACGCTTTCGACATTACATTTTTAGCCACCCTAATGCCATACAGTCCTCAGCACGTTTTAACCTATTACCTTAACTTGGGTGGTAAAGCTACCGCTAACTACGTAGGTACATCTAAACACCTATTTTTTTTTTATCTGTCCTTCTAACGACACACAATCTTATACACAACTGTTCTGAACACGACTACTCATGCCCTCACGTAATACGCCATTTTGTAACGACGTCCATCTTGGATTTTAAATTTTGTCATAGTCACAGTATTCTACTAGTGTAGCCCTTTCATTTGATATCTATATTGAGGGGGTTGTGGAAAAATATGAAATCCGCCATTTTGTACCGGCGGCCATCTTAGATTTACAATGTTATTGATATTACTATATTGTATTGTCATCGGAACTAAAGGTGTGTACCAAATTTCAGATCAATCTGACAACAGGAAGGTACTTAAATTTCAATTTCTAATTTTGACCCAAATAAACAAACAAATAAATAAATACCGTACGGGTCGAGTTAAATAAAACCGTTTAAAAAACTGGATCTGCTATAAGAACGGAATATTACAGCTTAAATAGGGAGCATATTAAATATTTTATCGAAAAATGAGTTGTGTATCCCATATTAAACATGAATTAAATAATAGAGAACAAGCATCGCTTATATTATTAGTTACATAATGTAAGCCTTAATGTCAACATACCGTGCTGGCAACTGTTACTTTTGGGTCGGTATTTACATGTGTGGAAGTAAATCGCATACGCATCTTAAGTCGGAGTGAGAGAAATGCGACGGTGTACTGTTGCGTTGTTGCCGGTACGCCTTTCCCTATCAGGTAAAGGAAAATCACGTTCGCAAACCGCTTATTTTTAAGACTTTTTTTCGAAAATGTAACTAGATAAAATCAATAGATATGTTTCTGAGCATCTGAAATAGAATAATTATAAGGATATCGTTGGAGTGTTTATTTTTTTATAATGAGAAAACGTCAGTAAGCGCGATAATTTAAAAACTCAACTTTTTTCATTTACAATATGTTTACATAAGAAAAAATCGATAGATTAAACAACCCATCCATTTACTTTTAGTGCATAGCAGTTGTCAGCAATCATGTAACTTTTTTATTTATAACGATTTTTGCATACTGTCTGCGAGGAAAGTTTTTGAAAAACTAAAATTAGTTATTTCTAATAGATTTAGAGATATCCATTTTTAAATTTAGAGTTCTTATAGCGCGACCACACTCGAACACGAACTCAATTCCACTTATTTTTACCAAAAATGCAAGTGTTTCTAGCTTGCACTTAAACATTTTCAAGCTATAAGGAAAATTACAAAAACTCGTTAATAAATAAAGAAATGAAGTATCACGAGACGTAATTAAATCGTGAAGCTGAACGCATGATGTACACCCTTCCATACAACTTTAAGTACTGACAGAGGTACTATGTATCCCCTTCCACGTCTCTTAGCAATGTGCACAGTTTCCCCGTTTATTTCATATGTTTGGCAACGTGTTTACTATTTCCTCTTTGTTCAGTACATTATAAACGCATTGTACTCTTCTTACATACGGAAATCTTTGCCAGCCTTTAGTATACACTATGTCATGAAATATAAAATCACATTACTTGCCAAACGTAAACTGGAATGGAAAATATCATAGTGTAAAATAGCTTTTAATATTTATGAACTCCGCATAAAGGGACGATGTCATATACATAGGTATAACAAAAATATACCAGATGTATCTCGTTATTCTGTTAAGTTGAAACGAATTTATTTTAGACGAAAACTAGACATAATAAAAGTTTTAAGTCGAGAATAAACCTGGTTCGCATTCGTAGCCAATCTCACCATTGCGACCCGCTCGTACCGGGTGGCGTGACACAATGAATTCCATTTTTTCGCTAACATTTCCATTTTTTCGTTCATGATTATCAATACATCCACATTGCAACGTTTTCAATCATTCGCGGTCCGCATTTTTCTTTGATATATTTACTTTTCCCGACAAAAGATGGAAAAATTCGTTTGCGCTGAATCCATTCATCTCGCACTACATTCGCTGGGAATACATGTGTGTGCCCGAAAAAGATTTCCTCCAGAATGCGAATTTTGACATTGGTACTTCCGGTTATAACTGGTAACAACGTCTCGTATCTCAATGACTAACGTTTAAACTAAGTAAACTGTTCACTATCGGGGGGTTCATTATGTGGTCGTGCCTGGAAGAACTTGGAGCTCTGGTAGCCGACGAATTAGCAAGAAAAGACCGAACAGCTATCTTGATCCAGAGCCGTATTGGGAATATCCAGATGTGAGGCCTGGGCAATAAAACTCTGCATCAAGGAGAAGCCAATCCTCCACTGGAGAAACAGACAGGGGCACAGGCATAACAAGACCTTCATCCAAAGACCTAATTCTAAAAAAAATACAAAAGCATTTCTAATGCTTAATGCTAAGCTCGATTTTTATCAGGGAAGCCTTTGTTCCATATTCTACGATAAAGATTCTGAAATAGAAGAGCACATAACACGTCACTATCACTCAAAATCATAATATAATATGATTGAAAATAAAAAACTTGCGTCCACAAACGTCAAAACCCGAGACGGGGCGCTACTTCAAGTTTCTCTCCCGGTCTCAAAAAAAATTGTAGATCCGGGGCTAATAAGGCTTCACTAATAAGAATTTTGGGCTCGTTTGCCTTTATTTTTAATGGTTTTAGACTTTAAAAAATCCTATATGGGTATTTCGCCCAGTGCAAGAAAATATACAAAATAAAATAGTTATTTTTTGTAAACACTGCTGCGTAATCCAACGGAAACTCCTTGGCAGCAGTTAGGTTTACTGATAAACAAATTTGCCTAACAAAAAGCGGAGAGGAAGAAGAAACCATAGCGGAATAATAACCTAACCTAAACCATGTAGTTAAGTAATCTTCTGATGATACTAATACAGTTAGCGAAATGCGCGACCAGTGTTAAAAGTAAAGTGTTTTGGTGTATTGTGGTGAATTAGTGTTTTATTTTGATGTTGTATCATCAAAGGCTGCATATTTTAAAAACTTTATAAAACAAACATTTAAAGAACCAACGCAACGGTTTAGAAAAATCAGAAACGTTTTTTCCTTATAGTAGAGTAGGATTATTATTGGTAGTAACACTCTTTATACTATAAATACAAATATTTTATAAAACATACAGAATGAATTTCCTTAGTCTATAAAATAGCAGTTCAATTAGCCTTTTTTATAAAGTAAACCTCTCCCTTTGCAAAACTATAAAATTCAACTCTCCTGAGATATCATATGTCATTTAAGGTTGGCAGACTCCTACGCCTGGAGGGCATCCCCATGGAAGAAGTGAAAGAGATAAGGTTCGAGCATTTGTACATTTTGAAGATAGATCACCTCTGGGTATTAAGATCGCTAGTGAAGCTCAGTCTCAATAGCAATTTGATAGAGAAAATCGAAGGATTGGAGACACTGATACATTTAAAGTACGGTTGTATGCTAACTTAGTTTTTTATAAACGATCGTCTGTAGGATTCAACAAAGAACTATTTTATATTTAGTCAATTTAGTACGTGTGTTTTGCTGCAAGTTACTGAAAATTTATGATCTTATAATCCATTATATTTTATTTTCATTTTAGAGAATTAGACTTGTCATTTAACAAAATCCAAAAAATCGAAAACTTGGAAACGCTAACAAACTTAGAAAAAATATCGTTTTACGAAAATTTAATAGAAACAATAGATAATTTGGATAATCAGCAAAAGATGACGGTCTTTAGCATAGGTAAGGTTGTTACGTTTATATTTTATTTACAATATTTAAATTGTCCTCGTCTTGAAGGGAAAAATAAGATAGACGACCATTCTAACGTTAACTACTTTAGAAAATTTAAAGCTTTGACGTCATTAAATATGGCTGAAAACCCTTGTTCGGAAGAGGAATATTTTAGGTATTATGTGGCGGCGTTTTTGCCAAATTTGGTATATTATGAATATAAGAGGTAAGATTTAGGTGTTAAGATATAATAATAACAATAAGTATCTATAGTGTTTCAGCAATATCAAATAAATTCAATAATAAGTAAATAGAAGCGTATTCGATAAAACGCTTCGACTGACTTTTAGTTGCATATTTCTTTCAATATAAACTGTTTATACAAGGCGTGTCATGTAACATTCGCCAATATCAACTTTCTTATTTTAAATGCAACGTTGCATTCTCCTGAACAAATACTGTAAAACCTTTCTAGATTTACTGGTCTCTATCTATTACTACTGCTATTACTCGCTGACGAGTATTTGACACGTATCAGAAGATGTTTACGGAATAAGTTTTCTTTCATGAGCTTTCCTGTGACTGATAAGCCCGATACGTGATTTTATCTCTCTTCCGCATTTCGGACATTCAAAAATCTCTTTGCCCTGTTGCCTCTTTACTTTCTGGTTGTCGCTGTTAACTGAGTTTACAATTCTTCTCCATTGCGTTCTATTGTGCGCTACTTCTTCCCACTCATTCGGCATGTTTATCCCCTTTAAGTTTTCGTGGAAAATATTCTAACTTTGTACCTTTTGAGTTGTCCACCCAGTTTCCTCTTACCGTTATAAGCTCACCGTAAAGCAGAGATTTTGATAGGCGATTTTCTTGCATTCTGCATACGTGACCAGTCCATCTTAAGCGGATTTTTTAATCATGACCTCAAGATTCTCGCAGCTAGTTGATTCTTAAAGAGTTGTCTAAGGTGTCTCTGTTGCAACTTGTTTAATACGTTCATGTGCAAGCGCCGCCGCGCCACTCGGTACCCAGGTTTCGCTTCCATATAACATGGTGGGTATTATTATTGCTCGGTACACTGCAAGTTTCGTTTTTTGCACTCAATACAATATATATATATATATATATATATATATATATATATATATATATATATATATATATATATATATATATATATATATATATATATATATATATATATATATATATATATATATATATATATATATATATATATATATATATATTGCGGATTTTTACGACATTCGTCGTCTCCCGCTTCTCAACTTCCACAGATTTCTGTCTGTCCAGTCTTCTTCCTGGAGGCCCCTAGAATTCATAGCGTCAACTACGCCCTGTTTCCATCTTCGAGGTGGTCTTCCACGTTTCCGCCTTTCGCTTGGTGTCCATGAATGAATTCTTTTCGGCTATCGGTTATCATCCATTCGTTGGAGGTGTCCGTACCAACTTAGTATTTTGCCGTCAATGGCGTCGAGAATAGTTTCTTTTCTCCTATAATTTCTCGTATTCTTTGATTTGAGGTGTGTTCCAGTCTTGAAATGCGACAACTTCTTCGCCAAAAATCCATTTCAAGAGACAGCAACTTATTTTTCTCTACTTGTTTAGCTCCCACGTTTCAGCGCCATAAGTGGTAATGCTCTCTACAATGGCTTTATAAAGTAGAATTTTTGTTTTTGGGAAATTTTGTTACACCACAACAACGAGTTAAGTTGACCAATAACTCTCTTTTTCCTTGTCCAACTTTATTTGCAATATCTTGAGTGTTTTTCCATTTGTTGTAAAAGTGACGCCCAAGTATTTAAATGTACAGACATTTTTAATTGTACCGATTCCTACATCCAAATCCTCACGTTCGTCATCACCCACTACCATGTACTCCGTCTTCTTTGTGTTTATTGTTAGGCCCCATTTCGAATATTCTTCATGCAGTTTTCTAAACATATAACTGGAGTCGTCTCTGTCTCCCGCTATCAAGACCTGGTCGTCGGCAAAGAGTAAGGTATATAAAGTGTCTTTTCCTACTGGGATCCCCCCACGGCATTTCATCTTCCAACACTTCAGTACTTCCTCCAAATATACTTTAAATAAAGTTGGTGCTAATGAACACCCTTGTCTTAAGCCCTTATTCACAAGAAATTCTTGGGAAATATTGTTTCCAAGTTTAACTGTGCTACTGCAACCCTCGTATAATTTTCTTGTTGCTTGGACATACCAACTACTGATACCAAAATTTTGCATTGACACCCACAACTTACTTAGTGGGACTGTATCGTATGCCTTCTGTAGATCAATAAATGTCAAGTGGACCGTCCTTCCCCTTTCTAGCCTTTTTTCGATTGGATGCTTAAGAGTGAAAATGCCATCAGTACATGAGCGTCCCGGTCTAAAACCATTTTGCTCTTCCTATTCCGTTATTTGTGCTTCTAACTTATGTTTTAGTACTTTGCCATAGAATCGAGCAACAGTACAAATGACACTAATTCCTCTATAATTTTCACAGTGGCGTCGGCTCCGTTTCTTAAATATGGACGTAATAATCGCTTTTTTCCATTCTTTGGGTGGGTCTTCTCCATTTAAACATCTACTAAAAATATCTGCCAGAATTTCCAAAACTGCTGAGGGGGCAGCCTTTAAAAGTTCTACTGAAACATTTCCCAAACCTGGGGCTTTGCCATTTTTCATTTGTTGGAGGGCTTTATTTACATCTGCAGAGCTTATTAGTGTTGGATGCTCAGGTTCGGTTGGATTAACAGGATGACCTTCATGATCTTGTATCAATTCGGTTTTATTTTCCGTCAACAGATTTTGATAATAAGTCTTCCAATCCTCGATCGGAATAATATTCATCCCTGCAGTATCTTTATGTTGCCTTCGCATTCCGTTGATAATTTTCCATGCTTTATTTGCTTTTGTGTTTCCAGCTTCTAAGTTGACTTCTTGGCATCTTTCTTCCCAGTACTCATTCTTTGCTTTTATTATTTCCTTCTGTACACTTCTCTTCTTGTCATTATAAATTAGTCTGTCTTGAGTGCTCTGTGTACTTAACCATTTCCCATAAGCAGCCTTCTTTTCATCTACAATCTTTCCTAGTTCTTCACTGCACCAAGGTGTATCTTTTCTGTATCTCGTGGAGACTAATTTCTCTCCAAGAGCCTCATTTGTGGCTTCATGTATGCACGTTTTCAGACCTTCGTACATATCATTTGGAGATCCTTGTCCTATTCTGTTTAATTTCGTGGCTAGTCTCATCTGGTACAAGAATTTAGTTGAGTCATTCCTCAAACTTTCGATATTATACTTGACGTTACTTAATGGAGTTTCATTTTTCTCAGGCAATCCATTTGATTGCATTTTATTTTTGTAGAAAATATAATAATATAATAATAATTGTAGAAAACTCTGTCTTTTAATTTCCGGAATGCTCTTGAGGCGCTGCCAATTCTGTGCTGAGTTTCAGAATCGATATTGGTCTTATCCGAAATCAAACTGCCGAGGTCATTGAATTCCGCTACATATATTCCAATAGTTCTTCTCCAATTTTTATAGCATTGTTGAGATCTTCCGGGGGAGTGCACATTATTTTAGTTTTATCGATGTTCAGCTTAAGACCCAAAGCCTCGTATGGCCAGGTATATGTGTTTAACATTTCTTGTAATCGTATGTCAGCGTATTGAAGTTCTGTGATAAATTTTGTACGTGAGTCTTTTTATGTTAAACAAACATCCGTCGCGCGTCGTATCTGTATCTAATGTCCAATCCTCTCTCCTGCAGTTTGCTGTCCACTATAATGGAGAGCGCTGTCATGAATATGCTGAATAGGAGAGACACATCCCTGCCTAACTTCTATATTTGTTAGGAAGGGATCGCTCAGTGATACATAGTGTGACACTCCTGACTTGTTGTTGTTATGGAGTTTTTTATACACTGTATGCAAAAATTGCTGGGTACTATAAACTTTTTCATAATTGCCCAAAGTGCAACTCAGTTCACAGAGTCGAAGACTTTTGTTAGGTCGATGAATGCTACATCATAAAGTTTACACTCTCTGTCTAATAATAACTTTTTTAAAAGATGTTAAAACAATAGTATCACTGTAAAGCAGTGGCGGCTCGTGGTTATTATTGTGGGAGGTCAATATCTAAAAATTTTGCGTCGATTTTTTTTAAGACGCGACAAAATTTAATTGGTTTCTTACAAGGTACTTGTACGTTTATTTAAAGGAAAATAAATCTAAAAATAAATACAAATTATGTTAAAATGAAACGTACCCTTACATTTTTAAATAGGTGGTCTAGTGCCATTTCACTAAAAATCCAGTCAGTGTTCTTTACACAAAATTTCCACGGTAGGATTTAAAAAACAGTTAAATAATAACGTCCCAAAAACATAAATACACACACATTTCTAAAAGTTTTATTTCGCATTTTTTTTATATATTTTAAGTCAATTCTTTCTCTAAACGTTTTTCGAAATTTAAGCAATTGTTTTCTTTTAACCGCACGATTTTACAAACTAAACACAATAATATATGTTGGTCTATTTGAAAATATATATTCCAGAATCAGTCAACAAGAGTTCCAACATTTATCCAGAACCAGAAAATTATGAATTATTATCTACACAAATTTCGCGCTGCATCTCAAACCCTCGGCTACGACAAAGCTACGGCAACTAAAACTAATTATTTTTTCGATATTAAAAATTTAAATATTGATTTATACTGACTAAACCAAACATTATACGCGATACGCGATAAACGATACAAAAACCTAGGTTGTTTTATAATTTGAGTTTTTATAAACACCCAAACTGCCCAAACGGCGAATTTTTTCCAGCGATATCACTGAAATCCTGTGATACATTTATATAGAAATAATGCACTCGATATTTCTTAATCAACTATATCGATTCTCAACTTCTTCTTTACGTGCCGTCTCTTTCGTGGATGTTGGCGATCACATTGGCAAAATCTTCACGATTCTCGGCTTTCCTTATTTATTAAGTTCTTCAAAAGTTAGGTGAGTCCAGTTTCTGATGTTTCTCAACCAAGATAGTTTCTTCCTGCCGAGACCTCTCTTTTCTTCAATCTTACCCTTAACTATCAATTGTAAGACGTGGTATTTTTCATTTCTCAATATATGCCCTAAGTATGATGTTTTTCTTATTTTTATTATATTGAGCAATTCTCTCTTTCTGCCTATTCTGTTGTAGACTTCGGTATTTGTGATATGGGCGGTCCATGGAATTTTAAGCATTCTTCGATATATCCATGTTTCGAACGATTCGAGGCGATTCATCTCTTGAACTTTCAGTGTCCATGTTTCTGCTCCGTATAATAGGATTGACCAAACATAACACTTAACGAGCCTAGTTCTCAACTCTAGGTCCAATCTGGGGTTCTGGAAGACGTTCTTAATTTTTAAAAATGCATTTCTCGCTTGTTCTATTCTGGTTTTTATTTCCACATCGTTGTTCAAGGTGTTAACTATCCAGGACCCCAAATATTTGAACTTGTAGACCTGTTCTAATGTATTACCGTCTATTTTAATAGGAATTGGTACATTTTGGTTCTTTCCAAATATCATGACTTTAGTTTTAAGAGAATTGATCTTCATCCCGTATTAATAATAAATAATATTACACTAATAAATAATATTACAAATTACAATAATAACACGCTGGTTCTCTCTCAAAAGACAAAAAAAAACAAAGTTGGTTACAAAGACAAAAACCGCCACTTTTTATATCGTCTGTCAGTAAACTACCAAATACAAGTATATATAAAGTTGCCTACCTTAGAAATGCTTCTATGAATGACGCGGCCAATGGCCAATATAAACTATATCTATCGAACCTTAACCCATTATATTTTCTATACGTAGTATACCTTACCTTGTTGGCGTCACGAGCCGCGGCACTTGGAGTTTAATACGTGTAAAACATAACGGGAACGAAGGACAAAATGAAACTTTGACCGGCAGTAGAGAAAATGGGTAAAATAAAATGTTTTCAAGCGAAAATTGGACAAATTAGGAATAGTTATATATTTTATATAGTTATATATTTTAGGATGAAAATATATTTTAGGATGAAAAAAAGTGATTTACAAAAAGTATAATTTAAATAAGTTTTTCTAATTTCCTCCTGATTTTTGGGGGGGCATTGACCATTTGAACTCATGGTTAAGCCGTCACTGCTGTAAAGCAAATCCCTCCGATTGTTTTTCTCAAAATGCATCCCCACACACCTATTCTACGTACCTAGAAACCACAAAGAAAGTTGAACGAGCAATAAAAATATAACCACGTCCGTCGTTATGAGCGCGACCGGAAATTGATATTTTCAGAATCGACGAGAAGGAACGGGGAAAAGGAAGCGAATTATTCCGCGACGAATTGCGGACATTGGAGCGGAAGGAGGAAAAGGAACGGATAGAGAATGAGCAGATAGAGAAAGAAGCGCAGGATGCCAAGAGCCACTCGAAAATGTTCGTCGAACATCTGCAGACCGGCAAGCTGTTTGATATAATGTACACAAACGATGAAGAAGGTATGAAATTATGTCATGATTTCGTCGGTTGAAAGAACTGGGAAGATACGCAACCTAATGGGCGACTTCGTGACAAGGCTGATTTAATTTCCCTTTACGTCTCAAGCGCTGTACGGTGGGGCCTCTATTCGTTCTCCGGCCAACGCATATAACACTCATTTTCTCTCATTCGGCTAGCGAAGGATATCGAAGACGGTGTGGAACTGATGGCAGTGTTGCCATATTAAAATGTGTAATATCTGTAATAGGTTTGACAAAAAATCCCCGTTTATGTATTGAAAATTTATTCGTGTTAAACATAGAATAAACAACAAGAATAAAAATTCTTTTATACAGTATGTCCCCGGATTGTCTTTACAAGTTGAAAAACTTTTTTATTATTGACATTTTCAGAAAAATTTATTCTTCATAAAAATTTTTGCTTGTTCTAAAATGGTTAATCCCGTTTATACTTTTCCAAATTTCCATACTGTTTTAGAGAAAACTAAAAAAGAAATATGGATGAAAATATGGTTTGAATTTTTTTCTAAATCCTAAAAATCAAAACGCAAAATATAATTTCGTGTTCGTTCTTAAATAGATTGTTATTAATAGAAATTTAATTAACGTCATATTTTTTGCTGTTTTAAAATTTTTAAGAAGCACAAAATGCAATTAGTTCCATACTAGAGAAAGGGTGATAATAGTTATAGGAAAATGTGATACTTTAAAGGTGCGTATTCATTTGCAACAAAACACTCCAAACCAACCAAACGCGCTGCGCACTCCAAACAATCTGCAACAAAACATTTTCCGGGCGCGCTCTGAACGACCTGCAACAAAACATTTTGCGCGGAGCGTTCCGCCTGTTTGCGGTGTTCGTTGCGTTCCCACCAGTAATCAATGTTAGTGTGTTTGTCGACATGGATGCATCTGATTTTACCATAGCCGCTGGTGCTTTTTTAATTATAGAGGCATTAGCGGGTAACAATAAAAAGAAAACAAGGTAAGAATGAAAAATGTGGGCAAGACGCCTCTTTTTGCGCCGTCAAAATATGACCTTACTTAGTGACCTCGATTAAATTAATAAATGCCTTTATTGTCAAAAAATTTTACAATTTGTAGACAAAGGTAACGTAAACAAACAAAAGAGAATACAAAACAAGTGTACAAATTACATTGTCAGTCTTATTGTTTAAAATAAACATTTATAAATGTTTACAATGTCAAAGAATAAAAAAATAAAAATAAGATTCAAAAATATTTAGTAAGTTTATAGTAAATATAGCAATAGCAAATATCAGACCAGTGTTTACAAAATCAGATTCGATTATCAAAATATAAGTCATTTACGGCGTAGAAAGCCTTGTCTAGACTAGTAAATAAGACTTCAATGCTTTGCGAAATGAAGAAAATGATGTTATGGATTTGATTTCAAATGGCAGGTGATTGTGCATTTTTTTCGAGTTGTATAATATTGAACTTTTAACTAACTCTGAGCGTGGGGTGGGCAGGTAAAGATCTTGCTGCACGTTCCTGAGTGGATAAGTGTGGGATGACCTTTCTTGAGAAGCTGATACATGCTTACGTATTAGGCAAACGGGTTCAAATATAAATAAGGAAGGAAGAGTTAATATTTTTAATGTTTTAAAAATTAAATTAAAAAAAAAGATTATATGCATATGAAAAGTTTTACAAGGATGACTGCAGAAGATTTTGAGAATCTAATATGCTTAGTAGGTCCTAGAATAAAGCTAAGCACAGTTTAAAAAAACCACAAATACAACGAACGTTCAAAACTGCCGTATCCACTGAACACCGGCCAACGAATAAATTATTTTGAACAAATCCCGTTTACCGACAAGCTTCGGAAAATGTTTGGCGCGTTCGGTTCGGTTCGGCACACCGACTTGTTACAGCGCGCACGGCGCGTTTGGGTCGTTCGAAGTGTTTTGTTGCAAGTGAATAACCACCTTAACGACAACAAAAAATATGACGTTAATCAAAATTAATACTACTATCTATCAAAGAATAAAATTGAAATTATATTACCATAGAAACGCCTTTAAATTTTCAGGACTTCAAGCATATTCTCATATTTTTTTCAATTTTCTCTAAAACGGTATGGATTAGAAACGTACACAGACGGGGGATTAACCATTTTAGAACAAGCAACAATTTTAAGGAAGAATGCATTTTTCTCAAAATGTCAACAATAAAAAAGTTTTTCTCTTGTAAAGACAATCCGAGGATATACTGTAGCTACTGAATATTTCATATGATTGAAAAAAGTCGTTTAGTTGGCTTGGAAATGACGAACTATTGACATTTACCATAATATTTTACATATGAAATAACAGCCATCTTCATTTCCAAGCCAACTCTGATGCTTTGTTAAATCATATAATATTATATGAAATTGTTTATTAATAGAAAATCCGTACTATTAACTTACTGTACCCAAAATCCGTAAATCTACGGATTAATCCCCAGTTCTGGCAACACTGTCTCCGGCAACCACCCACTCTGTCGACTGAAAGCAGAACTACGATACAGTATTCTTTATCTGCTGCGCTGTAAACGACTAATCAGCGCGTAACTAAATCTCGGACAGGTTGACTAGCGGTGACGGTATTGCCAGCTACATCTCGGACAGGTTTTGTGCCACAAAAGCCCATAAGGTTGCGCATCTTCTTATTTCTTCAATCAAAGTGCATGCAATCTTCAATGCAAGAAGTTCAATGAATATATGCAAGACGGCCGTGACGTGCGACTTAGCGAGAGGATAGCGGCAGTGTTGCCACAGCTACCCCATTCGGAGTAAATCTACCCATTTGTAAAACAATTTAACCCCGTTATCTCGTGATAATCTACCCCGATGAAAAATAAGCTTGTGGCAACACTGGGTAACGATCTGTGCCATACGCGGCTAAGAAAATCACTATAATAAACTTGACACTGTACCAACCGTGATTTCATGCATATTTTCATCGATAGGTTTTGTAGCTTCTGAATAACGGTTTAGGTAAAGCATCTAGCTCTTTTGCTAGCTCAGAACTAGAATTGAGAGTTAGTAACTCACATTTTCATTGGAGGACACTGTCATATTTCTTTCAAACCAATAATCAACGCGAATATTCGTATAATTTCATAAAATTACTGTAAATCACTATAGATAATGAATTATTTGAAATTGAGCTGTAATTTCTGTATTATTAATCTGGTAAATGATAGAGATAAACAATTATTGTGATTTGATTAAAATTTTATTTTTACATGAAACTTTTGTTATAACAACATTCGAGAATTCGAATAGTGAATTGAATAATGACAAGACAAGTGACATTTATCTAAAAAAGACAGCGATTTAGAGTGACGATTTGGTTATGTAAAATTTAGAGTGACAATTTTGATTATGCAAAAGAAATACAATATTCTATGAGTTTGCCTAACGATTATCATTAATTTAAAAATAAATCCCCAACATGAATAATGAACAAAAAATTTAAACAAAAACAGGCCACAAACTACAGAAAACAAATTGTTGGTTAGTAGCAGTTAATAGTAGTCAGAGATATAGATGTACTGTATTTTGGTTTAATGGCCACAGCTATCCGGCCGGGTAATAGAATTATCGTTTTTTACTAAAAATTAAAAAAAGATTAAAGCTAGAATATAGTATACGGTTTTATATTAACTCTATTTTTTTTGAAGATTATAAAAAGCATTCATGAAAAAATATATACCCTTCAAAGACTTCAATTTAATAGCTGTTAGGAAGAAGTTCCACTTCAAATATGCGCACCTAGTGCACACAATTTTTTTAGCATTTCTAACAAATTTTCAGTATGGAAACGAAACAAAAAAATAGTCGCCAAAAAAGTATGAATTCTCATTCAATTTAGTCGCCGCCGGGCCGCCTTAATAACAATTAAAACACATAAACCTTTTTAACACTATCAACGTTGTACCAAATCCAACTTAAACGAACTAACAGAAATAAATGTCGGCCCCTTTCACTTAGACGCAGTTAGTTCATGAAGTTAAATTAACTCAGCTACTTTATATTCTAGGTAAGACGCTCCTAGAACTAGGGGAAGAGGTTAGGGAGCTACACGCTGAATATAAAAATCAATTCGTCGAGCACTGCAAGGAAGTATTCGACATCGGCGAGAAGCATTACTACGAAAGACAAACGGAACTGGACAATTTTACCAGGAGCTCTGAAAATGCCAAACTGGAAAATCAGCTAGAGAGTATTGGACACATCGAAAACTTCTTAGGTTAATGAGTTATTTGAACATAATCATATTTTTACCGGACTAAGCTTGTATTTTTGTTCTTTAGCCTGGCTAGATTTCTCCAAAACTTCCTTCGGAATCATTCAAATTCTTCGGATTTTCTGTACTTATCGAATCAATTTTATCAACTTTTTTAAATGACGCTGTGCTGGTTAAACAACCGCCGGCGAATTGTTAATTTATATAAAAAATACCGTCATCCGGGGAGCTTATTTCCATAATATACCATGCAGAGAGCATAGTGTCTCTAAGCCGCGCCTCCAAGCTAATTTCAGCATTGAAGATGTCTCTAAAGGTACACGCACACTGACCAGCACAGCATTCACCGTACGCGCCGCACGAATCGCCCTTTTTTTTCTTGTCGCGCAGACTGACCCGTACCGAACGCGCCACATTCACCGCATTATTCGCTCTTTTGTTTCTTGTTGCCCCTACTGCAACCGTATTTGAAAATCGAATTTCTCATCAGTCGCTTCCGGAGTTTTGTCTGCAGTGATAAGTGTGTTGTTTTAATATTTCTCGACAATGAATGACAACGAACAAGAAATAATAATTGTGAGCTCCTTGCTAATAGAGGAAGAAGAAATCACGAGAAAGAATGTTATGGGTTTACAATATTTGCAAAAAGTTTACCTTTAGGAGGGGAATTCCACACTTTATTACCATATTTAATTGAGGACGAACTAAACATTTTTCAATATTTCAAAATGAGCGATGAAAACTTTCTTAGCGTATTGAATTTTTAATCTCCTCTACGGCTAATACGATTCAACTACTCGCGTAGAGTGGAAGAAATTGCGTGTGACGTTAGCAGCACTAGCCGCATTGACCGAAAATTATTCTGGCCCAAGAATGCTGGTCGCATTTTCGTCGATGCGATTCGTGCGGCTCTGGCTAGTGTGCGCACCTTCATTGAAAGTAACACAAACAATATATTTCTTCGGTCGATGCGGCGCGTGCGGCTCTGGTCAGTGTATCACTGATAAAAAAGATAGACTTAAACTAAAGTCGTCATCGTTCTTGAAAAAAAAATTTAGTGGCAAGAGAATTTATTTTAGTGTAAAAGAAAATATTTTGCCTGAAGAAAAACTTTCTTAACTCAAGAAAACTGGTTCTCTTGAAAAATTCGAAAATTTCTCTTGAATCTATTTTCATTCAACCAAGTGCAGGTTACTTTGTTTTAAGATAATAAAAAATAATACGCTAGGAAGTACTTCATTCAAGAAACATGGCCATTTTCCCAATAGCTAAATACTCTTTTGATGAAAAATAATAACGACACGCAAAGACGATGACGAAGGACGGTATATACAATCAGTCGGCAGTTCGATCAGTCGTATGTCGCATTTCATAGGTCGCACATCATAGTACGCACGCGTTGTGTTGCTTGGAATTTTCCACTTGGAATTTTGCATAATTTGCTTTTTAAGCGCATATCGTATAACAAATTAGTGATCGTTATTAACATGCATTTGTCATTTTTTATGGACAAATTTTAGGATACATGGATTCTTTAAAGGAGTTTCTGAAAAACATGGAAATTAGAGCATTTATTTGCTATATTTGAAGGTAAGAGACATTTACCTAATGCACCTGTTTAGATAATGCATGCGTGACTATAGATAGAATAAGAATAATAAATAAGCAAATAATTACAAAAATTTTAGAATTTCAAGTCGTCGTATTAAAAAATTCAAAATGTGACCAAAGCTTATAATATTAATAATTTATTTGCTTTACTTTGATTAATCGTGATGTAACATTTTTTTGTAATTTGTAGAGTGATGAACCACCCCAAAGAATACCAAGGAGTGAAGAAGCAGACATAACTACTATCGAGAAAAATAATATCACTTTACTTACTACAGACCAGGAAAACCTAAATTTATCGGAAAATATTATACTTCGTAATATGCCTGTATATGACTTCTCTTAGATCAAAATAAATTTTAGTTGAATCAATAGTATTCGCTATTGGTTTAAGAAAAGTGTCTCTTTAATCAAGAAATGTCCCTCTTCAATCAAGAATTTTTGCATGAATCAAAGAGACTATTGTTGTTGTAGCAAGAACTTCTTTGCATATACATTTTGGGTCAAGAGTGAAATACTTTGGACAGATAGATTTTTCTATTCTCTAAAGTAATTTTTTAAAGCTTGTGAAAAGATAGTTAACGCTTTGGGCCAAGAAACGTCGTTCTTGGCCCTATTGAAAAGCGCCATTCTTTTGGGTTAAAGTCATATTCATTTCGACTGAGAGATCCTTTTTTTTACAGTACGCACACATTGACCAGAACCGCACTCGCCGCACGCGCCGCACGAATCGCACTTTTTTTTCTTGTCGCACACTGACCCGTACCGAACGCGCCGCATGCGCTGCATTATTCGCTATTTTGTTTCTTTTTTCCCCTACTACACCCGTATTTACCAATCGAATTTCTCATCAGTCGCTTCCGGAGTCCTGTCTGCGGTGATAAGCATGTTTTTTAATATTTCTCGACAATAAATGACTAATTATGAGCTCCTTGCTAATAGAAGAAGAAGAAATCACGAGAAAGAATCGAAAGTTATAGGTTCACAATATTGGCAAAAATCCACATTATTTCCATATTTAATTGAGGATGAACTAAAATTTCAATATGAGCCATGAAAAATTTGCGAACTTTCTTAGCATATTGAATTTTTAATCTCCTCTTTGGCTCACTCAACGCTACGTAGAGTGGAAGGAATTGCGTGTGACTTCAGCAGCACTAGCCGCATTTACCGAAAATCATTCTGGCCCAAAAATACTGGCCGTATTTTCGACGGTGCGATTCGTGCGGCTCTGGCTAGTGTGCGCACATTCAACACAAATAATATTTTCCTTCGGTCGATGCGGCGCGTGCGGCTCTGGTCAGTGTGCGCGTACCTTAAGGCGGTATAGAATGGATAGGAATTCTCAGCTTTACAACGTGATATAAGCTACGTGGGCATTCTTAGTCGCTTTTTGCATTTTGCGTTGAATCTACCAGTTTGCGACCGTTGCGAATTGTAAACAAGCATCAGAAAACAGTATGTTAGAGATTATCTTAAAAATATAAAACATGAAGTTAAAAGTGTGTTAAAAATATATAACACGAACTCCGCTTCATAAGAGCCAACAACTGGCTATTCACCAAAAACAATTTTAAAAGATTTAGAGAAGGAAAAAAGAATATGGAAAAATAGTAGGTTTAACACAGAAATAGAATAGAATATTATAATTAACACGGTTTAATAATATGGTCACATCATAAATATTGATATAGAGCGGCAGTTAAACATAATTCTCACAAATATCACAATAAACTGTAAAAAAAAACAGGTATATTAAAGTACAACCAAGAGCTTTATCCAAAAGAACTTATTGTTCGCGCTCGCAAGAAAGGCTCATCAGGAAGACCATCAGAAGAGAAGAGTCTTTTTTTAAAAAGGAAAAAATGGTGCTTGAGCAAAAATATCACCGAAAATACCCCAAATGCACATTATTTTAATAGTTGTAATTAAAGCTGAGCATTGCAGCTTAACAGGTCTCATGGTAGTCATGGTATCATGGTATCAGAAAACTTGACACTTTATATTTGTCAAAAATGTCTATACCTATGCGGCGGATTCATATCTCCAAAAGTCTTATGAGTATCTCGCCACTGTAAGAAAATCTACAAAATAAAAGAGTTATTTTTTGTAAACACTGCTGCGTTCATCCAACAGAGACCAGCTTGTCAAGACTAGATTTTAACAATGCATTGTAATGAAAGAAGCGGTAGCCTCTAAAAGAAAAAGAAAAGAGGCTAATAAAAATCTAATAAAAATAAATGTATTGCTCGTGCATCTGTAGATGTTAGTAATGCATGACAATCGCCTCTTTGATTTTAAAGAACATAACATAAATAAATATAACACATGTAAAAATTAAAAACAAATTAAAAATAATCATACAGGAAGTTTGAAGCTTTTTGGTTTTACCTTATTAAGTAATTGTTATCAGGTAGTAATTGTTAATTTTGAAGTTTAACTTGATATAATGTTATTTTAACAGAACGTCAAAAGTTTTGTACATGTATTCTGTTTTAAAAAACTGAAGTGTTTTCGAATAGTTAGTTGCATTCAGATATTTTAAATAGTTTTTTTTGTTCTTTGTATTTTTTTTTGCTTCCGACGACGGAAAGAGATATACTTTCCGAAACGTTAAGAATTTTTTTGTCCGTTAGGCAAATTTATTTATTAGTCAGTGCTGACAAGCTGGTCTCCGTTGGATTAACGCCCCAGCAGTGTTTACAAAAAATAACTATTTTATTTTGTAGTTTCTTATAGTGGCGAAATACACATACGATTTTTTGGGGTTTATATTTGTCAGCATCTTTCTGAATCTATTAATGTTAGATGCGATTCTATATTTCTAGAGAATAAAAATGCTATGTTCAAGAACATTAAAAACTTGCAACAGCAACTAGATCATGACGTAATCGACGAAGACCAATTTATGGCAGCAATGGTAGATCGTCGACAAGATTTTGAGCAGATGATACACAAGACATGGAAAAACTTAATGGAGTAAGTTGTTAGTACAATTTTGTACTTTGTATACATATATTAAGGAGTTCATTTCTTAACTAAATAATAGTCATAATATATTATTCCTACAACTGTGTGACATACAGTATGTCCCTGGATTGTCTTTAGAAGAGGAAAAACTTTTATTATTGACATTTTGAGAAAAATATATTCTTCATAAAAATTTTTTGCTTGTTCTAAAATGGGTAATCCCTTTTATACTTCCAAATTTACATACCATTTTAGGGAAAATTAAAAAAAAAACATGAAAATATGGTTGAATTTTTTAAGTCCTAAAAATCAAAAGACGATTAAGGGTAATATAATTTCGATTTAATTCTTTGATAGTAATAAAATTATTATTTATATTGATTAACATCATATTTTTTGCTGTCGTTAAAGTCGACATTTTCGGATAACTAGTATCACCCTTTCCGTAGCATTGAACGAGACAATTTTGTACTTCTGTAACATTTTAAAACAACAAAAAATATGACGTCAACTAAAATTCTATTAATAACAATCTACCAAAGAATGAAAACGAAATTATATTACCATAGAATTTTGTTTTTTGACTTAGAAAAAAATCAAACATACTTTCATGATTTCTTTTTAATTTACCCTAAAACGGTACGGAAATTTGGAAAAGTATAAAGGTTGATTCTCACTATACCTTCCATATCAGCTCCCTTCCGTTTCCCCTCCGTTTACATAAACTATTATATTATGTAAATGAATAGGACAATGCACACTATCCGTTCCGTTTTCCTTTCCTTTCCATATCCTTTCCTTCCATACATTGTTTTTGACGGACGGACTGAAGTGTATCGGAAACAGCGTTGTCAAGTTCTTACATTTGTACCAGCTCTATTGAAATTTTACTAATATTTATATATTCATTCTTTCACCTCTTAATTAAATCTATTACCTTTTTCAAAAGATTTTAAAATAAAACTTTCGCGTAATGATATAATTGTACAATAAAAAGTATGGAACTGATACGGAACGGAAGTTTACGTATAGCGTCAATACAATAAAAATACGGAACAGATATGGAATGGAAACGGAAGGTATAGTGAGAATCAACCTTAAACCGGATTAACCATTTCAGAATGACATTTAAATAAACATTTTATGAGAAATGTTAACGTTATGTATACTAAGAGGCCGTCTAAAACACTTTGATGTAAAAGATCTCAAACATATACAGGGTGTCCCACTAAAGATGGATACAAGCCAATATCTTGATTGTTTGTTGAGCGATCTTTTTCATTTTTGGCAGGAGGCTGTATGGCTATAAGACGTACATTTTGCACAGGGCAAGAAATGCGATACCTCATAAACGTACGTTTTAATGGGGTTTGATATTTTTTTTATTTTTGAGTCAAGAGTAAACTACCCTTAGGACAGTATTTATTTCAAATCTGATAAATTGTATTAAATCCTCCTTACCCAAGATACTTAAGTTCTAATTTTGATAAATATTGATACAGGGTGTGTTATTAAAATAAGACATTTTTATTTTTATTATTATTTTTTTAAGTACTTACGACGCCACTGGATAAACAACTGGTTTATTATCAATAACCAATTATCAATTAATAATCGATTTAAGTTTTGGTTAGGTTAGGTTAGCTATCTGCTTCCATAATAATTAAGATACGATATAAAAAAAATAATATTTTCAATTTATTTTGTTTACTTTAAAAAATTGTTTTTTAAGTTTGCTAATACAAATGAATAAAATCAGTTACAAAATAATTTAAAAACCCACTCTTCAATGAAATCTGAAATATGATTTTTATTCGTTTTATTGAGAAATATTTTAAAAAATCCAAAGAGTTATTTAAAACAATCACTATTAACTTTGAAAAATATGCTCTAAACAAAGATTTATATAAAACTATATCGAACTAAAAGTCAATATCTTCGACCAAACTTAAAGCGATTATCAATTGATAATTGGATATAATTGGTTATTGATAATAAACCAGTTGTTTATCCAGTGGCGTCGTAAGTACTTAAAAAAATAATAATAAAAATAAAAATGTTTTATTTGAATGACACACCCTGTATCAATATTTATAAAAATTAGAACTGAAGTATCTTAGGTAAGGAGGATTCAATATAATTTATCAGATTTGAAATAAATACTTCTCTTGATTCGAAAAATATCAAACCCCATTAAAACGTACGTCTATGAGGTATCGCATTTCTTACACTGGTCAAAATGTACGTCTTAAGGATGATTCATGGTACACCGGGCCGTACCCGAGCCGGGCACGTTCCGTAAAGTAGACACCGAGCCACGTCCGGGCCTTCAATATATGCTACACCGAGTGGACAACGGGGATCATGTCCGTGCCGATTATATTCTAGAAAACAGTGTTGCCGCAGTGGTACATTTGTACCAAATTTGATACTTTTAATTCTATTTGGTATATTGGTACTACATTTTCAAATCCAGGATGATTTGGTACAATAATTATTTCCCACGCGCACCGAAAATGAATAGATATTTAATAAAATTATTGTCGTTGATATTGCATTAAACGCGCTTACCGATACCACTCGGAGACAATCCGCATTAATTAACGACGTATTATAAACGTTGTAATGTCTATAGCGTTGCCTATATTAAATAACCCGAAGAAAAAACTTGAAAATTTACTGTTTATAACATGCTTCTATATTTGCGTTTTTTTTAATAAAATTTAAGTTTTCCAAGTATTGTGTGTAGTATTAGAATTACTTAGATTTCTTCAACCTATACATACTTATAATTGGGTTTTCTGAATTTCTATTTCATGTTTTTCGTCTCGATTTGTGTCTTTCTCCAGGAAGTTTTTTATGTAGAAATTTATGAAGAAATTCACAACGACCAAACCGGTTAAAGTCATTTGCAGATGTATTTTGTTGTGCTTTAAAAAATTGTACCAAAGTAGTACATTTTTAGTTTATAATGTGGTACGCGCTAAAAGTTGGGTGCGGCAACACTGCTAGAAAACAGTCGCTATAGGCCCATAGACGAACGAAGTATTTAGCCGCGGCGGCTCATTTATGTTTGCCGCAACGGGGCCGGACCGTAGCGGATTCGAGGAAAAATGTACACCGACATTTCTTGGACGGGGCACGGACGGGTTCCGGCGAAGCTCGGACCGTGCTCGGCTTAGCATGATTGTATAAGTATAAATAACATTTGACAATGTTTGGCCGTGCCTTCACCGTCGCACGGCCCCGGCCCGTCACGGTGTACCGTGAATCATCCTTTATAGCCATACAGCCTTCTGCCAAAAATGAAAAAGATCGCTCAACAAACAACCAAGATATTGGCTTGTATCCATCTTAAGTGGGACACCCTGTATATTGAGACGAGATTCTATTTTTCTATAATTTCTTCTAGAGGTTTGAAGATAGTATACAGGGTGGTCCGAATTGTATTCCGAAATGTTTCGATGGTTCGAATGGTTCGAATTGTATTCCGAAAATCTTAAGTAAAAAGGTTCGTATAAATGTATATCCTAAAATGCTTAGTTTCGGAGATACAGGGTGTAGAAGATTTTCATTTTTATTTCGATTTTTTCCAAATAATTCCTGAAGTAACATCAATATTTGGATGAAAATTGGTACCAGGGAGTTTCTTGACATGAGAAATTTGATTTTGATATCTATATGACTCCTATTTGTAGGGGGCGCCACCTACATGTGCTTTAGCTGTTTTGAAGAGTAATAACTTTATATCCGTACCTATATAAAACTACTGAGTGGAACTACTGAGCGAAAACATATACATTTTCGTGATTTTTTACGTAAAAAAAATGTTTCTTGGTAAAAAAACGCTACGAGAAACCGTTCTCAAGATATTTAGAACGGAAATAGTCAATATATATGTGATTATTGACAAAAAATAAACATATTTAGTAATTAGATTATGTGTTACCTGTGGTAAATAGTTTTTTGACCGAAATAATAATTTGAGAACTTCTGATTTTTTTAAATTAAGTTTAAATTTCCTTCGAAAAAAATGATGATAAAACAGTTTCTGACAACAATGACTACAAAAACATTTCAAAATTAGTCGTCATGTTTAATTTATGTCAATGGTCACAGGTATTGGAGAACCATTACCCGTAGCGATTTTTGGCAAAAGATTTTTTTTACGTCAAAAATATTGTAAATGTATATTTTTTACTCAGTAGTTTTATACAGGTACGGACGAAAAGTAATTACTCTTCAAAAAGTTAAAACACATGTAAGGAGTCATATTGACATCTAAATAAAATTTCTCATTTCAAAAAACTCCCACACAACATTTTTTATTAAAATATTTACGTTACTTCAGAAATTATTTGGCAAAAATCGAAATAAAAATGAAACTTCTACACCCTGCATCTCCGAAACTAAACATTTTAGGACATACATTTATACGAACTTTTTTATCGAGTTTTTTATTTATTTTTATCTGCAGAATATGCTGCCGGAGTTTCCGGAAAACCGTTCGGACCACCCTGTATAATACTGCCTCTTTCAAATGCATAGCAAATATATAGTCAAATATGTAGTCAAGATGCATTACTTTTCTCATCTTTCAATGCAAGTATATCAGTAGTGTAAATAGTTACTTTCACGGTATAAATAGTTTCGTCTTTTAGGTTAGAACTTCAAATATTCGAGCAGATTGAAGAGGTCAATCAAACTATTGAACGTGTTCTATCAGAAATGTTAAATACCTTCAAAGGTTAGTTACAAAAGCTTAAAAGTTGATTACAGACACACATATTTTAACCTTAAATCCGAGCTTAAATCATTTCAAAAGGATATTGTAAAAACTATAAGTAAAAAGAGACAAAAAAATAATAAAATTTGAAAAAATAGTATTTTATAAAGTCATCTCTGCGTGGTCTAACTACACTAAGATGGAAAAAAAAACGGAACGGAAAAATTTTTGGTCAAATTTAGAATGTTGTGTTTTATATTTTTAGTCCTATTTCCTTGATTATTTTAGCAAACTATATATAACAACTTTAATTCGTAAACTCAGTTTATTACAAACCTTAAAGTTGTTTTTTTGCCCTATCTTTAAAAACCCTGGGCAATAATTTCGTGACCAAATTTTCCTAAAACATTATTTTTCGTTTTTTTTTTCACAATAAGGGGCCGCTCTCTGCCGGAAACACTGCGACCTGTGAGGCCTATTGTGTTTGTCCCCTTTCTATATCTGCACCCATTCTCCTATCCCTGTGCCCTGCACTAACTTATGCAGGTCCTTGATAGGATGGGAGCATAGTTCCTCCAGTTCTAGCCTAGCTTTCCCAAATAAAGTGTGTCGCTTGCGATCCAGAGCCTCGCAGTGACATATTATGTGCTCCGCTGTTTCAGGATCTTTATCGCAGAGTCTGCAGCAAAGACTTCCTTGATACAGGTTGAGCTTGTTCAGGTAACACTTGACAGCTATGTGTCCTGTCAAGAGGTCTGTTGTAATCCGCAATTTATTCCTGCTAAGCATTAGCAGTTCTTTTGCGGTTTTAGAGCTAGGTCCTTGGATAAAAGCCTTGCTGTGCCTGTACCCCTGTCTGTTTCTCCAGTGGACATTCTGCTTTTCCCTGATCCAGAGTTTTAGTGTACTACGGGCCATACATTTGGGTATTCCCAGTACTGGCTCTGGACCAAGATAGGATGCCGATGATCGCTGCCTAGCTAGCTCATCGGCTTTTTCGTTGCCTTGGATGCCGCTGTGACCCGGCACCCATAATAATTTAATTCTGTTCCTTCGAGCCAGAGCTCCCAGTTCACCTAGGCATTCCCAGACGAGTCTCGACGATACCTTTGGGCTCATAAGCGCCCCAAGATCCGCCTGACTGTCTGAGCATATATTGATGAGCTTATCTGAATAAGCTCTTCTATTGTTTTCTCTCGCACATTGTAGAATGGCGAAGATTTCTGTCTGGAATACGGTTGAGTGTTTACCCTAGGAAAAGAAAAGAAACTTACCCTTGGTCTTTCCCCAAAATACTCCAGCTCCTGTTCCTTCAGCGGTCTTTGACCGGTCTGTATACCAGGTTAGTCCATCCTGAAGGAATGTTATATCTGCCCACATTCCTCGATCCATTTTGTTCACCTCGAATGGTTTGTGGTAGTGATAAAGAGGGGTCATTTGGTCCGATCTCATTTGGAGCAGAGGTCCCCCGATAGAATTTCCCATCTTTGAGTGTCCTGTTTCTGTCCTATTTCCCAGAGACAAGACACTTTGTTGTCGATAGAGTATCATTGCCTCCGCCTGGATCACTATGTGAAGAGGCGGAAGGTCCAGCAGCGCCTCCATTGATGCAGTGGGCATTGATTTCATCGCCCCTATTATGCTCAGACAAGCAAGTCTTTGCACCTTGCTGAGGCTGAGCATTGTTGTTTGTTGCATTACCTTAGGCCACCATACCAAGGATGCACATGTTACTGAAGGCCTCACCACTCCAGTGCACCATCTGTGTTCTGAGGCCCCAGATTTTTCCATGAAGTCGTCTGACTACCGCTAGTGTAGTCACCGCCCTCCTTGTGACATTTTCCAAATGTCGGTTCCAGGTCAGTTTGGTATCAAGCGTGATTCCTAGATACTTGACCTCCCCCGAGAGAGGAATCTCATCACAGCAGAGTCTTAGAGGGCCTAGTCCCTCAAGTATTCTGCGCTTGGTGAAGGGGATTATTACGGTCTTTGTTATTTTTCGGTTAGAACCATGTCTCCTGAATATTTTGTTTTTTGACTCATGTTAAACACATGCCTTGGTTAATTTTTAAGAGCAAAATGAACTTTCTTGCCACTAACATTTTGCAATTTTTTCAGTTATAGTTACTTTTTGATGTTATTTTTCATAATGACGAGGTGAATTTAGTGATTATTGTTATGTACGATTGAATATGGTTCTTAGTGACGAAGATGGTGCAAAAGTCATCGATCTTGTTGAAGATGGCCGAAATTATGAATATTCTTGAAGAATAATTGAAAAGATAACACAATATATTTGCAACCTCATTAATAGTATGAACAGAGAGTTTTATCAGCCCGGGGAGGCAATACAAACTATTAGAGTATTTTTTTTCAAGTTTTTTTGTTTGTTTGTACACTTAGTTATTACAGTTTTTTTAATATCCTTAGTTCTAATGTGTTACTAATATTTATTAAAACCAAGCCTGTGTCGATAATTTTTAACGTTTTTAAATTTTAATATACAGTTCCAGTGTCGATATGACATTACAACAATAGTTACCAAAACCTAGTGATATTAAAAAATAATATCGTAAAGTAATGATAGTTGAAAAAACTGCAAATTGTTGGTGGCAAGTTCATTTCGCTCATAAAAAATAACCAAGGCATGTGCTGACATGAGTAAAAAAAACAAAATGCTCACGAAACATGGTTCTAATCGAAAAATAATGTTTTAGAAAAAGTTACTCACAAAATTCTTGCATACGGCATTCCCTGTAAATGAGCCAAATACTAAAGTTTATAAAAAGCTGAGTTCTGTTGATGAATTAAAGTTGATAGATTTATATACAGTTTGCTAAAAAACTAATGAAAATAGGGCTTGGTTGACGAAAAAAATGTTCCGTTGCGTTTTTTTGCATCTGAATATATATAAATTCATTTTTGGCTTTGTAGAGGAAGTACAGGCAGTTTTTACAAATATCAGAGCGGCTGAAGTGGCGTATTCAGAAAACTTGAACGAAGCAGGCATTCAATTCTTGACAAACATGGCAACAATGACCGATGTCGAAGAAATACCTAAAGAACTGAAGGAAATGGTTTATGACAGGTAAATTAAAAGATATATTCCATAAAATCGTAAATGAAGGTTGAAACCACGGCCTAATACGTCGACCAGGACTTTTCAGGCAGATTGTGTACCTTTTGGGGAATAGTTTTAGTGAAAAAAAATTGAAAAAAATGGCCGTGCTCGGCCAGCTATGGCCGAAAAGTCAGTTTTTCGCAAATGTCTGTCAAAATATGCAATTTACAAAAATTTTCGTGGAATAAAAAATGAAGGTAATAATGAAGCTTGTAATTACCTACAAAAATGCTCCTTATCGACAATATGTCGACGATACTTATCGAAATGTCGACAAACCAGAAACCCTAGGCACAACCCATTTTCTTTGTTTTTTTAATTTTTTTAAGATATCAGAAGGCCAATGAAAAAAAAATAACAACACAACGTAGGTCCTTTTTTATTTAAACGGTTTCTTGACCCTGGATATACTAAGGGTCGGCATTTCTGGTCTTGGGTGCCGATTTTCGTGTGTACGAAGAGTACTACAGTCAACACGCTTAGTAAAATAAGATGTACTGAATAAAGACAAGAAGACAAGTATTTTTCCAAGCGCATGGAATCTAGCCTCAAATCAAGTGATTATGTAATAAATAGTTCGTATTTTTGCTCTCTCCAACTTACTAGATTGCCATAGCGATTCACTCCTATACATGTAAACCGACCCAAGGTTTCGCTTGCCAGCAGGGTATAACACTACAACATATAGGTACCGGGTGTTGCATCGTCGAGCGGGACATAGGAAATCCCATGTAAATTTTAATGGGGTAAATTATTGGCTTCCCTAATTATTTTAGAGAATAATTATTCTATTTAGGTTTATTGAAGAGCACTAAAACCCACATTCAAAAGAATAACTTTAGATATTTTTGATTAGCCCGTTTACGAGTTATCGCCGATTTCTTTTTAAATATTTCTCCTTTCTTATGGCCCTGTATTTACTTATGAGCACCAGTCAAGGTAAAAGATAACTGTCAAATGAAGTTCTCATTTCAGAAATTTACCTATTCAGTGCTTTATAATTATTATTAAAAACTCATACCTACATCGAAAATATTAGCCATGAATTAAGTTTTATTTTTATGCATCCGTTGTCCGACGATACGTTGATACGATATTAATTTTATTGGTTGAATTTAAAGGCTTCGATTGGTTAACCGTTTCTAACCAATCGAAGTCTTTAAATTCAACCAATAAAATTAATATCGTACCATCGTATTGTCGGATAACGGATGCATGAAAATCAAGCTTTACACTACCGAAGAAAAAGTATTGATGATTAAATGGTATTATCAAGGAAATAGTTATCAAAAGGTGTCGGACGTGTTTGCTGCTCTGTATCCGAATAGACCAATACCTGGAAAATCTACAATCGCAAAGAATATCCAGAGATTTGAGACCAAAGGTACCCTAATAAATAACTGCAGATGTGAAGCAAGGCAGGAACAAAGAGAAGATGCAAGAAATGATACCGACTTGGAAGTTTTATTGTGTGTGGAAGAGAACGATGGAAAGATAAGCACAAGGAAACTTGAGGATGAAATAGGAATAGATCACACTACAGCGTTTCGAATTTTGAAACGACATAAATACTATTCCTTCAAATATGAAAAGCACCAAGAGCTACGAGATGGGGACGAATTACGGCGGCAGGCGTTTTGTTTTGATATGATGGAAAGAGTAAACACGGATAGGGATTTTTTAAAAAACATATGTTTCACTGAGGAATGCACGTTTACCTTAAATAATGAACCCAATGTTCAAAATTATCGATATTGGAACAAAGAAAACCAACACAGGTTTGTCAAAACAAGGACGCAATATCCACAGAAAGTAAAGGTTTGGGCAGGGATATTCGGACACAATATTATCGGGCCATTATTTCTTACGCGAAATTTAAATGCAGAATATTATTTGGAACTACTCTGTTCGGGATTCTTTTCTCTCTCTACGGCTGTTCGGGAATATTTAGACAATAGTTTTAACGGAAACGTTATTGGCCTAAATCATACAGTAAATTGGCCAGCAAAGTCTCCTGATATTTCGCCAAATGATTTCTTTCTTTGGGGCCATTTAGAAAACAGGATATACAAGGATAAAAAATACCCAAAACTAGACGAGAAAATGCTATTTCTGCCGAATGCAATAGAATTTCAGTTTACCAACTTAGCGAATGTAAGAGAATCTTATGATCGCCTGGGTTATTGCCTAGCAGTCGATGGAGGAATATTTAAACATCTTCTTAAATCCTAAAGTTCTAACAATTTATTAGTACCTAAATTAATAAGTTATTGAATATTGTAATAATACTATAATTAACCTTGTAATTGTTTACTTTATTTTACTTTAATTCATATTAATTTGTATTTATAAATACATCTTTAAGATTTCCGATGTAGGAATGAGTTTTCAATAATAATAAAGCACTAAATAGGTAAATTTCTGAAATGACAACTTCATTTGACAGTTATCTTTTTTTTGTTAAATATCCAAGTATTTTTAGAAAAAAATATGACCAAACTTTCTCTTGTGGGTAAATAAATCGCACAAAATGGATATTTACTAACACTATCCCCCAAAATTTACCATTACCCCATATCATTTTCTCAGCATCTCCGTCGTATCAAGTTATTTATCACTACAACGTCCGCTGTTTTCCTTCCTACAAATTAGGAAGTTATCCGTATCAAAGTTAAGCTAGTTTCAGAAGCGATTCCTCCCTAAATACGTCATAATAAAAAGTTTATAGTTCCTGTTAGGTGGCAATAAACCAAAGTTACGTAAAGTTGTTCGAAAGCACCTAAAAGTAAATATTCATACTCCTGCAAATTGAAGTAAAAATATCATTATGGAAAAGTACGTAAAAAGTTCAAGTTTATCGTAAAGATTTTCATGTAACGTCTAAAATCGCTAGTCGATATTTTTAGAAAGTTTGAAATGGCATAAACTATAATCACAATAACCGGGTTTCGGAAAACATGTGTAGTATAATGATAAATTTTATTTGAGAAATACAGGTAAATTTTTATCCTTCTAGACTGGGAGTTGTAATTTACTGTTATAACCTTTGAATACAAATATTAAGTAAGGAAGAATTATAACGATATTCATGTATTCATGCATGACAGACGCAAACGATATCACAAACCACCATTTTTGACAGTTCTCTGACGTTTCAATTGACATATTTGAATCTGATTTACATGTATTGAAAAAAATGTCTATACCTTTGTGGCGGATTTATATCTCCAAAAAACTCAGATGCAAAGAAAAACGCAAGGGAGAAATCTTTGGTCAAATTTAAAGTTTTATATTTTTGTTATTTTTAGCCCTATTTTTCTGAATTTTTTAGCAAGCTGTATATAATTATATCAACTTTAATTCGTATACTCAGTTTTTTATAAATTTTAGTAATTGGCATATTATACAGGGTTAATCGAGGGGTTGTTTTTTTACCCTAACTTTAAAACACCCTATGCAATAATTTCGTGTGTCAATTTTCCTAAATTATAATTTTACGTCAGAACCATGTCTCTTGAGCATTTTGATTTCTGTCAATATATGTTTTGGGTAATTTTTAAAAGCGAAATGAACTTGCCACCAACAATTTACATTTTTTTTTCAAATTATAAAAATTATAACTTAGGAAAATTTGCACACGAAATTATTGAACAGGGTGTTTTAAAGTTAACGTAAAAAAACAACCCCTCGATTAACTCTGTATAATATGCCAAATATTAAAGATTATAAAAAACTGAATTTACGAATTAAAGTTGATGTAATTATATACAGGTTGCTAAAAAAATCATGAAAATAACAAAAATAAAACACTTTAAATTTGACCAAAAATTTCTCCGTTGCGTTTTTTTTGCATCTGAGTGTATATTATTATTAAGAAACTTTTAACATTAGCAAGTTAACTAACGAATATCAATCAGAATTAGCTCAGATTATAAAGAATAATTAATGAAGATCATGACATAATGAATAAAAGACAAAATATTTAAAAACCATAGTATATTATGGTTTTTGGAAAAAGACAGTAATTTTAAATTTAAAATATATCCGTTTTGTGCAACCGTCTGCAGAATGAGCAATATAGTCTAGCTATCAGTTCTGTAATTACAAAAGAATTAGGACTAAGCATAATAAAACCTGAATATGCTCACAAATATGTCTGTATATTATACAGTGGAATATTATTCAACTACACTGAAGCGTGTTATATTATTCAATATATAATTATTGATAAGTAACGACTAATGTGAATTAACAATGACGACAATAACTACTGGCCTTGCAGTTTATGTATATTTTATATTCTTAGTAATGGTAATAATATTATCTGATCATAGTCAAAGATCAGACTGGTCATTTTCAAGGTTAAAATGTGTTTTACCCTCCAATTATTAAATAGATTATTTTTTTTAGTTTTATTTATTTATTACAGCAATTTGTTAAAATTATATTTTTTTAGGGATTCGCTGAACAATGCAATAGTAGCTACACATGATGTCCATATGCAGGCAATCGACTCTAGAGAAGATTTACTGGTAATTATACAGTTTTCCAAATAACCTGTTTAATAAAAGATTTTTGTGATCCTCTCATCAACTCATTGAATATTCAAAATACTAAGCGCTGGCAAAGGATAGTTTTGGGTCGAGATTTCTATACGTAAGAAGAGTACAATGCGTTTATAATGTACTGAACAAAGAGAGAACAGTAAAAACGTTGCCAAACGTATGAAATAAACCGAGAAACTGTGCACATTGCTAAGAGACGAGGAAGGGGATATAGCAGATTCGTCCGATTCGTCGGAAGTGTGTACATCATGCGTTCCGCTTCACGATTTAATTACGTCTAGTGGCATTTTATTTATTAACGAGTAATTTTCCCTATAGCTTATACATTTTTTAAGCGCAAGTTAGAAACACTTGCACTTTTGGTAAAAATAAGTGGAATTCAGTTGGTATTCGACAGTGAACAGAAAATATAATTTGTCTATAAGTAATGCCGGACACATCTATCACTGCTGCTATAGTAAACGCCACGAATGTTTGGGACTGATTCATCGCTTGATAAAGTTAGAATCGACACGCGCGCTATCATTTTTACATTAAAAACGTAAATTTTTACCGCAGACGTAGGTTTTTAAAGGCCCGGTCTAATCATCTGCCTGCGCTCCTCCTACTTATTCTAAAATGTTAGGGTGGTTGACAAAAACGATACTATATCGCGTTTCATTGATTGATTCGTTAAGAAAATTTTTGAAAAATTGATTCGTTTTTGTGCGTCAGTCCATTGGTGTGCTTGCAGTGCGACCAGTGCGGCATTCCAGTTTATATTTATAACCAAATATATGTTTTGACAAGACTTTGACAGGTTGCTGGAATGCTCCATATTACTGATTATTTTATTTTTGTGTTTTAGTATAAATTTGGATATTTTTAAACTGTTTTGTTGATAAAACCATCGGTAAGTACGAGATTTGAGCTAAGGGGTAAATTAACAGATAAATTTAGTGTGTAAAATGGTCTTACCTCTTGGTGCTTTTGTTTGTAGTTGAAATTTAACCGAAAATGCCCGGCAAACGACTAAATGAAGGGCAGAAAGAATTCATTATGCGGTTGGTTGCTTATTTCTTGCGGGAACGCGACAACGATGGCCCTTTGCTCCTTGTTACATCAGTCCAGAAGGTACTATTGCATAATTTATTAAAAAAGGCAGGGTCCCAAATAATTATTTGTTTATAGCACGTTACCGCCGCCTTGGGCATTTTTAAAAACACCGTTTCCAAGGTGGAACTATATATATATATATATATATATATATATATATATATATATATATATATATATATATATATATATATATATATATATATATATATATATATATATATATTAATCGGTTTAAAACGTTCTACGTCTTCCGATGCCATCTCTCCATGCCTGTCTGTCTCTCCATGCACCGTCTCCGAGAGATCTTTCCTCCATAAACGTGTCAATCCCTTCCTGCCAACTTCTTCTCGGTCTACCCGGTTTTCTTCTTCCTGCAGGTTTCCAGTTTAAAATTTGCTTTGGGATTCTTATTTCTGCCATTCTTTGGACATGCCCGTACCATACCATAGGGTAACCAAGGTGGAACTACAATTCAAAAATAAGACCAATGATGAGACTCACCCGGCGAACGAAAAGCCTGCTACTAGCTTGGCCGCAGACTCGACCATTAGTAAAAAATTCCCGTACAGTAAGAGGAAAAAATCCAAGACAACCGATATCTCTGATGCGAAGAAAATGGAGGTCACATTATGATGAACAATGCAGCAGAATATTATGAATTTCGTCATTTTAGGAACTCCATGCATATCAACTGGCGAAACCTCCTTCTCGTTGAAAAATTTTCAATATTCCTTTTTTAAGTAATTTGTTACTGATAAATATTTTTGTAATATTCATCAATAATAATAATTTTAAAATGTCATGCACAAAAACATAAACAACAGATTATATATTGATTATTATATATGACTTCAAACACCACGGCACTGGAATTCAGTTTTATGTGATCTTGAACAGATTAGTTCACATGGTATTTATTTATTTATTCGTGTCAAAAGCGTTGCAAATAAAAATATACCGGGTGTTGCATCGTCGGACGGGACATAGGAAATCCCATGTAAATTTTAATGGGGTCAATTATTGGCTTCCCTAATTATTTTAGAGAATAATTCTATTTAGGTTTATTGAAGAGCACTAAAACCCACATTCAAAAGAATAACTTTAGAATTAGGGAAGCCAATAATTGGCCCCATTAAAATTTACATGGGATTTCCTATGTCCCGTCCGACAATGCAACACCCGGTATATGTATATATATATACAAAAATACTAATAAAAAATATATACAAAGTATATAAAGATAAACAGAAGAAAATTGCAAAGGTAAAATTGAAGACAGTTACAAATATTAAAATTGTAAAAAAACAAGAAAAAAACATGAACATTGTACAAACACTAAATATTTTCAGACCAAAAATTAGCAACAACGACGGCATTTCCTGTAGCCTGCAACAGGTCGTCAAACGTAAAAGAAACTGGACACTGAGGGCAGTTATATAGATATCTGGTGGTTTGTTCTGTACCACATTCGCATAATGTCGATGAAACTGTAAGAAAATTCCATTTGGCCATATTATCTTTTGTTCTGCCAATCCCACTTCTTCGATGGTAGCGACCGATGAATCACTCCCAAACATTCGTGGCGTTTACTATAGCTCATAGTTGCTGCTAACTATATATTAAAATGTAAAATTTCTAGAATCTCAGATGCAAAGCATGGATCGAAGACCTAGTCGACAGAATGAAAAATGAGGAAATACACAGAAACCGATACAAACTTCTGGAAATCAACCATTTTCTCGATATTCAACAAGAAGAATTTAACGAAATAACTTCTCTTCCTGAACAGATTGTTCGTGACGAGGACGAGTTGTAATTTTTAATGAAAATAAAATATATCTTAATAAATATTGTTGGTTTGTTACTTTTTGTTCTCTTCTAAAAAAAGCAGAAAAAGTCTTAGTCGTGAGATCAAAGAAACTCTTCTTATGATCACTCTTTATTTATATTTTTCACACCTTCACGGGAGTGAATTAAAAGAATGTGAATTTAAATTACTAATTTACTGAGCAAATTAAAAACAAACTCTAAATACAGGGTGTTCCTTAATGACATGCTAATATTTAAGGGCGTGATTCTTGTTGATGTCCTAAACATCTTAATTTCTGAAATACAGGGTCGTAAATACTTCTAAATAAAACTTTTTTTCATAATAACTCTGATTTTATTACAGATATCTTTATGAAACTTGATACATGTCTTCTATGCATCAAAATATCTCTTTTTGTGTACAAAGAATTTGATTTATTTCAACCAGTGCCGTCTATACGAATTTTACATTGAATATTTTTGGAGAAAAAAGTGGTACACCACTGACTTCTCTTAAAATAAAAATTATTTTCAAAATCTCCATTCATTTCTAAACATTTTTTATCTCTTGATTTTTTTCGTCCTCCGCTTAGTTTTTGCTTAAAAACTTAAAGTCAGTTTATTTCAGGGTCAAAGCGCTGAAATATGATACGGTGACTGTTGTGTGGAAATCATTTCTGCATCGGCTGGAAGGAAATTAAGAAATAAAACAATTAATTTTATTTATATTTATTTTATTAAGCATTTTGAAGCATGGAAGACGTGTATCAAACATAGGTACCATCAAGATACTTTGAAAAAAAAAATTTTAGCACTCTGTATCTAAAAAGTTAAGATGTTTAGGACATATATTCAGATGAAATGATTTTCTTAAAATAGGTGCACGAATCACCTCTTTAAATCTTAGCATGTCATTAAGGAACACCCTGTACAGGGTGGGTCAAATTCGACGCTTTTAAGTGAAAACATAGGAGATAGACGAAAACTAATATCGGTGTCTGGAGCTCAATTTTCTGAGCTCCAGACACCAATGAGCTCAATGATGGTGAAAAAGCACATCAATATCTGTTACCGTTATGGGGTGTTTTTCAAAAATGTGCATTTTTAACAAATCGCTGTAACTTTTTTGCTATGGAAAATTTTGTATTTCTATGAAAACATTTCCAAAGCACCTTTTTACGTAGAATTTAATGGTTCAAGTATATTTTTTTTAGAATTAATAATTTAAGAGTTATCAACAGAAAATTGATTTTTTATTTGGGACACCCTCTATATTTTTAATTAACTGAAAAGAATTTAAAATTACCTTTCCAAAAATATAGCACACTTGATATTTTGTTATAATCCCCTTTCAAAATACAGAATTTTTAAAAGTTCGCCACTTTTAACTAGTAGGCTTTGGACCCCTTATTGATGATATGCCTTTAATGGAACTCGAAAACATATTTTTCCAGGAAGACGACGGACGCACCGCCTCTGAACGCTGAATTTTTGCAGCCAATTTCAAGAATAATTGAATAGCTAACCAAGATTTCAGCCGTTGGCCGTCGAGGCCGCCTGACTTAGTGTCCATGGATCTAATCCTATGGATATATTTGCGGAAGAATAAAGGTTCCTTATTCTTCCGTATAATCTAGACAAGAATTAGAAAAACTTAGCAGTTATGAGAGGGTATCTTTCACCCCTACTGAGTTAATGAATTCCGCGAGAAAAGTTCAAAAACTGCCCCGTCTGTCATAACAGAAGACGGTTGATATGTCGAACACAACTGTAGCAAAATTTCATGTCTTGGTTTGCTATTTATTTTTAATGTTATTAGATATAGTTTAAATGTGTTGATGTTGGTTAAATATATTTTAAATTGTTATAAAATTCTGCATCTCTTACAGCAAATATTATTTTCGTTTTAATGATGCTCACAGCTAGAATTTTTTTGCATTACAGCCGGTGCCGTTCAAAGCCTACTTATTTAAAGCGGGCGAATTTTTATATACTCTATATCTCGAAGAGGAATCGAGCAAAATATCAAGTGTGTTATATTTTTGGAAAGGTAATTTTAAATTCTTTTCAATAAATTACAAATATACAGGGTGTCCCATATAAAAAATCAAATTTTCTGTTGATAATTCTTAAATTATTAATTTTAAAAAAATTATACTTAAACCATTAAATTCTACGTAAAAAGTTGCTTTGGAAATAAACGTCCATAGCAAAAAAGTTACAGCGATTTGTTAAAAATGCATATTTTTGAAAAACACCCCGTAACTCCGAAACGGTAACAGATATCGACATGCGGTTTTCACCATCATGTTTTTGACAAAAATTGAGCTCAGACACCGATATTAGTTTTTGTCTATCTCCTATTAAAAAGGGTGTTTCCATTTAAAAGCATCAAATTTGACCCACCCTGTACATTAATTTTTCAGCAACTTGATTTTCTTTGTCTATCATCCCCTAGCTTTTAGCCACCCTATCTCGGTTAATTTTGATTTGAGTAAAAAAATATAGAGATCATTCTTATTTAAAATTTGACGCTCTACACCTTTTGATCTAATCCCTTCCATCTTTGATTTCTAATCCTTACCGTTTCTCCGAAATTTCGAAAAAATCATTCTATTTATTTATTTCACCCCTTCTCGGGGTTGAAATTAAAAAAATATATTTCACAGTTCGTTTTTCGATATTTCAAAGAAACTTATATCAAAAAATCAAGTTTTTACCAAAACTTCGTACTTGAAGACCTATTTGTTAGGACTATTAGCAGTAAAAACAAAATATTTCTCTACCGGGTGCGTCTCAAAAATGGCTCACCCCTATAACTTTTTTATTTCTTCGGTTAAAAAAACGAAATTTGGTATGTTAGTATATGACATAAATTAGGATTCATTGACGTTTTCATTTGTTTTCGGTCACTTCCTGTTTCACTGGAAACGACTACAAATTTTGATTTTTAAATGGCACCATCGGTATTTTTTTACAATATTCTATTATTTATTAAATTATTCAACTTTTGACATTTTCCCATATGGTTTATTTGAAATTATAATTTGCGGTTCGTAACGAAAATTTGACTCGAAATACCACGTCTGTGGTATCAAATTATTCGTAAAAAATGCTTTTTCCAAATATGCTAATGAGCCACCCTCGTTCCATTTGAAAAAAAATGAGATATGATTAAAATACGATTTAAGCATTTTCTAAATGGCCCGGACAAGATCACTAAAAACGTTAGACGATCAAATCTATTTTTCCAAAGCTCCTTGATTAAGAATTAGTGTTTTTAACATAGCCATAGCACTCTAGATTAAATTTTAAAATGAGATTTTTTATTAAGCGAGAATGTCAAAAGTTGTCATTCTATTCAGAATGTCATTTTCTATCGAATAAAGTAAAAAAATATCGAGGATGCCATTTAAAAATCAAAAGTTGTAATCATATCCGGTGAAACAGGAAGTGACAAAAAACAATTGAATACGTCAATCAATCCTAATTTATGACATATACTGCCATACCAAATCTCGTTTTTTTAACTGAAATAATAAAAAAGTTATATGGGCGAGCCTCTTTTGACACGCACCCGGTATTTCATTTTGGAATTATTATACTAAATTAATATCTAACTATTAAGAATAAGTATTATAAATCTTTGCACTAATAAAGTTAAAGTAGAGTTATAGTAATTTTAATTCGACATCGCAATCTTTTCTTTCTCGATTAGAAATCTGGATTTTTTACTAAAAATCGTAAAATTATTGAAATTTCTCTTACCTGTTCATAAAATCCAATTTGTGGAGTAGGAGGTTCTAAGTTTTCGCAGAATTCCTTAAATAATAAATAGCCTGCAACAAAAAAACATCGTTAAAACTGAATTCTACTTGGAAATAGTTATTTTAATTCCTGCTTCAAAAAACATTACTGATGTAACAAAATAAAACTGAAATATGTTACAATACAAATTCCAAAAAGAAAAAGTAGAATTTACGAAATGATCCTCCTGGAGTAATGTCAATATTTAATCTCTAAACAGAAGCTTTTGCTTTGCTCATTATAGCTACTTAAATGTATTGAATATATTTACGTATTACTTCTCTTCTCGTTATACAGACGGAACTGTAAAGCGGTAATGTAAATATTGAAACATAATTAAACTTTGGATTGCCGTGACGGTAAATTAACTCTCAAGAAGAATGATTGAGAGAAGAACATCATGAAATTGAAAACAAATCATTCTCATAGTAAATACAATTTAAATATTTCAAGAATTCCTGAATATTCTTAAGCTAAAGCTTAAAGATACACTCACCGGCACGAAAAACGGGCACCTTAAAATTATGATGTATTTTAAAGTTTTATACAGGGTGGCGCACGCACCTCATTCGCCTCGGTTGATTATACTGAAACGGAAAGATGTAGAAACAAAATATTTTATGGGTATATGTGGGGAGGTAATGTGGCACAATTTAAAATTATTTTGAAATATACAGGGTGTCTCAGAACTAAGATCCATACCAAAGTTATATTTTTTCTTATGGAACACCCGGTATTTTATTTAATTTTTGGATTCTTGGGCCCAAAAAAAGGCATTTATTATAGGGGTTAAATATGTTTAAAATCTTTGGTTTTTGAGATATTGAAAGATATTTAAATATGCATGCTACAAAAAAATAGATTATTAACACCCTGTACATTACTTTTTAGAATTAATTCTTGTGCTGAGTTTAAAGGTAAAGAAATAAACTTTACTGAAAAATATTATTGCTTGCTTAAATTTATACAGGGGTACCAAAATTTGGTGATCTATTTTAATTTATATATATATATTTGATTTATTTTACATAAAAACTTTGTTATTTCAAATGCAACACCCTGTATTATTTTAAATAAATCGAAGCAGATTGAAATGCCTTTTCAAACCATATTAGGGTTTCTTATACCTATCTATCTCAGATTTTGAATAAAAAGCGATTTTTAAATAAAATGGCAATCAAGATGGCTGGTATCGCCATGGCAATTTTCTAGTGACAGTTAGTAACTAAGTAAGTTTATAGACTTTATTTAAATCTATACCAGTTTATTTTTATTTAATTGATCAACAATAGTTTAATAAATAATATTTATTAATATGTATTTATTATTCTATCAAGAAAAGCGAAGAAGTAGTTCTTTGTTTTATTTTACGATAACTTGTAGATATATTATTTTTTTATAAAAGAGCCAATTACGGCAAATTCTATTTCTTCACTTCCAACGACAGGTTTCTGCCTAATAGGTTTTTTATAAACTTACACTACCAATTCTGCGAAACAGGAAATAGGCCAAGAAATTTTTCAAAGGAAAGCTTATCAGGAAGATTCCTATTTGGGATATCCTTGAGCATTAGCTCTTGAAGCCAAGAAATAATTTTCCTCGCAAGACAAAATCACTACTAACTAGTAACATCCATTCGTTCCACCAGCAGATACATATGGCTTTATTTTTCTTCATAAAATAAAGAATACTTACTTATTAAAATATTGTGGGTAAATTTTAGTAAACTGTTTAAATAATAATGTCCATACACTAATGTCGATTTTCAAAATAGTTACTAACAGTCACTAGAAAATTGCCATGGCGATACCAGCCATCTTGATTGCCATTTTATTTAAAAATCGCTTTTTATTTAAAATCTGAGATAGATAGGTATGTATAGGAAACCCTAATATAGTTTGAAAGGGCATTTGAATCTGCTTCACTTTATTTAAAAAACTACAGGGTGTTGCATTTGAAATAACAAAGTTTTTATGTAAAATAAATCCGGAAAATAGATCACTAATTTTTGGTACCCCTGTATAAATTTAAGGAAACAATAACATTTTTCAGTAAAGTTTATTTCTTTACCTTTAAACTCAGCACAAGAATTAATTCTGAAAAGTAATGTACAGGGTGTTGATAATCAATTCTCTTGTAGCATGCATATTTAAATATCTTTAAATATCTCAAAAACCAATGATTTTAAACATATTTAACCCTTATAATAAATGCCTTTTTTTGGGCCCAACAATCCTAAAACGAAATAAAATACCGGGTGTTCCATAAGAAAAAATATAACTTTGGTATTAATCTTAGTTCTGAGACACCCTGTATATTTCAAAATAATTTTAAATTGTGCCCCCACATTGCCTCCCCACATATACCCATAAAATATTTTGTTTCTACATCTTTCCGTTTTCGTATAATCAACCGAGACGAATGAGATGCGCCACCCTGTATATTGTGTCCTATACCGATTTTGATGATCTTTTAAGAGTCTATTACGCTGTAATGTTCGGATCGTTCTCAGGGGTCGGATACAGCAGCGGGTGTGTGGCCGAAGGAAATAAATATCATATTCCAGAAATCTGCCTAAGGCTTAGCCCGATCCTATCGTGTTAAGCCACATTCAAAATTCCAAATACACGTGCTTTAATTAAGGCTTGATTAAGGTTTGCATCTATTTCCGTATTGGAACGGAATTTTAAATTATGTCTTTATTTTCGAGAAAATTTTGTCCAAACATGAGGAACATTTTGTTCCACCATCAAAATCTTAAAAATAAAGATGTTGTCTAAAAATGTGCTACAATACGGATACAGCATAATCCTTTATTTTTATTTCCTTCTTCATTTGTATAAAAAATACCTAGCCAGTTTTCCAAAAAACGTTAAATGCCGAAAGCTTATTTTGCTACTTTTCCGGATTAGCGACATGAACATTTAAGCAATTTGTAGTTAAATTATTTGACTTTTTACTATCAGTTTCTAAATTAAAAATGAAAGTACCCATTTGTCTCGAATTCCGCGAATGGATTAAAAGGTAAGGTCAAATTAAGATAAGATTCAAAATGATTCTAACCATCTTTTATAAAGTAATTAAAATTAAACAATAATTAATTTTTCAAATGCAATCAAAATAGAGGGAATAAAATAGCAACTCTTAAAGAACGAATGTATCAGTAACTTCACCTTTAAACATTTGTCAAAATGTTGTAATTACAAAACAGTAGTTTATTACAATAATAGTTCATAATTTTTGCGTACCTGATATACACTTACCTTTAAAAAGATCAGATTATTAACATAAATAATGTCTTCAATGTGTCACAATTATGTACAGGGACATCATTTTAAGTGTCTCACTCGATTTATAATTTTCCTGTTTGGTATTTAAAGATAATAGAAAGATTTCCTAATGTAATTTTTCGCGAGGATACCGATTGTCTACACCAAAATTTTTTAAAACGTCAATTTTGACAGATACGACGCCATCTTGATTTTTTTTAAATGGAAACCCACACATATTTTAGCATGGTCCGGTAGACATATTTTAGCTAATTTCAAATATATATAGTTTAGTATACTTTGCTCTTACCGTTTTCGATATACAGTGGATTTAAAAATGAATTGTTCCAGAATCATTTTAAGTGTCTCACCCAATTTAAAATTTTCCTCTTTCCTATTTTAAGATAGTAAAAAGATATTGTAATGTAATTTTTCGCGAGGATACCGATTTTCTACACCAAAATTTTTTAAATCGTCAATTTTGACAGATACGACGCCATCTTGATTTTTTTTAAATAGAAACCACATCAAATTTTAACACTGCCCGGTAGACAAATTTTAGCTAATTTCAAAAATATATAGTTTAGAATAGTTTGCATTTACCGTTTTCTATATACAGGGGGTTGAAATCACGAATTCCTCTAATTTTTATGTATTTGAATATGAATGCCATTCACTTACAACTGAGTGGTATTTGTATCCAAATGCATGAAATTTACGTAAATTGAGCTATCTTATGATAAATGACTAGCAGTTTAAAACTAAATTTTCATTTTTTTTATATATACAGGGTGGTCCGAACTGTATTCCGGAAACTTCGGCAGCATACTCTGCAGATAAAAATAAGTAAAAAAGTTCGTATAAATATATGTCCTACAATACTTAGTTTCGGAGATACAGGGTGTAGAAGTTTCATTTTTATTTCGATTTTTTCGAATTAATTTCTGAAGTAACGTCAATATTTGGCTGAAAATTCGTGTCTGGGAGTCTTGGAGTTGACATGAGAAACTTGATTCTGATGTCAATATGACTCTTATTTGTATGGGGCGCCACCTACATGTGTTTTAACTGTTTTGAAAAGTAATAACTTTTCGCCCATACCTGTATAAAACTACTGAGTAAAAAAATATACATTTTCTTGACTTTTTACGTAAAAAATGTCTCTTGGTAAAAATCACTACGAGCAACCTTTCTCAAGATATTTCGAATGGAAATAGTCAATACATGTCATTACTGACAAAAAAATAAACACGTTGAGTAGATAGATATTTGGCTGAAATAATAAATGTGGGAAATTTTAATTTTTTTAAATTAATTATAATTTTTTCTGCGGAAAAATGATGATAAAACAGTTTCTGTTGAACTTTTGGCATAAAAACATTTCAAATTTATGATTTCAGTCTAGTAACTCTACATGTTTAATATATGTCAATGATGACAGGTATTGATAATTTCGATTCCCAGTATCTCGAGAACCATTACTCGTAACAGTTTTTACCAACAGACCTTTTTTACGTAAAAATCGTTATAAATGAATATTTTTTCACTCAGTAGTTTTATAGTACGTATACTCAGTTACGTACGGACGGACGAAAAGTTATTACTCTTCAAAACAGTTAAAACACGTGTATGTGGCGCCCCTAGAAATTGGATTTATATTGACATCAAAATCAAATCTCTCATATCAAAAATCTTCCAGATACCAATTTTCATCAAAGTATTAACGTTACTTCACAAATTATTTGGAAAAAATCGAAATAAAA